GATTCCCCATGACGTCGTTCATCCTCCCGGGCGGTGCCGGAGGTCCAGTGTGGCTCCCCGGTGCTTGTCACATTTTGGAGCTGTTTGTGGGGGGCTCCTGGGCCAGGAAGGTGAGGATGCCCATGGGGCACCCCACTGATGACCCATGGCCACATTTTGGGACCCATCGGTGCAGATGCAGCTTGCAAGGGACGTCTTTGCCTCGTGCCGAGTCCCCTGGCTTTGTCCTGCAGGGAGCTCGGCTGTCCCCTGGGCTCTGCGCCTGCAGGGTGGCGGTGCAGGATTTCGGGGGGGTTTCGTGGCTTTATCTCATCCCATCAGGGCTCAGGGGATCCCAGCACGGAGCCTGGCCGTGGCCCTGGCCTGACCCCGGAGAGCTGGAGGTCTCCTCTTGAACCTGACCCCACCTCGCGCAGCCACGTGCGGCTCCCGGGCTCGATGGAGAAATGCAGCGCGGCGGAGGAGTTATGCGCTGCTGGCAGCTGGTGTTTTCTTTCTTTGGGAAATCTAATATATTGATTAGCTTTCTTCAGAACAGCATCAATAAAGCGTATAATGGCATGGCTGGTGCCTGTGGCGTCTCCTCCCCTGGTCCGAGTCCCCTTGGAGCCGGGAAGCCTCCGGCGGCGGACCTTGGCCGCTGCTCGCGCGGCTCCGCAGGCCCCTTCCTGGCAGCGAAGCTCTGCCCAGCAGGCACGCACTGTTGGGCACCCTGCTCCTTGGCCTTCCTCCTCCTCCTCCTCCTCTTCCTTCTCCTCCTGTGCTGCTGGGGGTGCTCAGGCAAAGCTCAGGCTCTGGCTGCGCCGTGGGGCATGGTCCCGTTGCGCTCCTGCCGTCCCCATCCCCGGACAGCCGGTGTCACCGAGCTGCTGTTACGCACAGTGGTGGCACCGGTGGTGGCAGATATCACCGGGGGCTTGTCCCCCTGGGGGTACAGCCTCTGGGAGCAGATTGTCCCCAGGGATTGGACTTGGATCCCCAAATCCCAAGGGCTGCTGCTCCAGGCCCTCTGTCACCGCCAGTAAGACGGAAGGAGATCCATTTTCCATTAGTGTCTAAGAGAGTTTAGAGGGGTTTTTATTGTTGTTTTTGTGGTTCGGTTTCTTTTTTTTTTTTTTTAAAGCTGATTGATTGTGATAATGAATGGATCCCAGAAATAGTCCGGAGCGGCGGCGTGGGGCCGGTGGCTGGATTTAAAGTCCTCGTTGGCGCTGAACCCTCCTAACTATTTCTGTCAGGCTGGAGCAGCTTTCATCTGTAAAATATGCAGGGGGGAAAGCAGGATCTTATTTAGCACCCTCCTAAGCACCGGGCTGACCTCAGATGCCAGTGTCTTTAGGAACGGATGTCTTGCACTTGTCAGGAGCCGCGTTATATACTGCTGGTTTATTTATTTCTCCTTGGTTCACTGGACAGCGAATCCTTCCCAGGAACGCGGCCCGAGCCACCACGCCGCGCTTGTCAAGATGCATCACGCTCCAAGACAGCCCGGTCCCAGCCCGATCAATCTTGCGGCTGCTTCTGCTTCGCTTTCCAGCTCTCTCAGTTTGCTTTTCCGGGCTTTTTTTGGGACCTCGGGTCCTGCTCTTGGGGTATTTGGGGTGTGCTGGGGGAGCCCAGCGGGGATGGAGGTGGCCGGGCTGCACCGCGCCGCTGCGCTCCCTCGCTATCGACTCGCTTCGGAGAGAGGTTTTGGGGGAAAACTGACAGCTGATGACTATGGGAAGATGTTTTCAAAAGGAGAAACAATTTACAATAATTAGAAATTTATAAAATGTCTTTAAACATGGTGGTAATAGGGATAAGAAAACACTTGCTGCAATGTAATCAGTTATTAGCAGCTGATCATTTATCTGGATGGATAGTTGCTGCTGGTACACGAGACACGTAATAAAAGGACTCTTGATTAACTAATTTGAATATCTTTTGAGAACAAATTCCGAGTTCTCTTTTTTCTCCATTGTAACGGATCCGTACATCTGCGAGATAAACACTGAATGAATATGGAAATGAATATGCTGCTGGAAGTGGAGCCCTCGAACGCCGCCGGCACGGCCGCCCCTGGCCGGGTGGCAGCAGGGGCGCATGGGGACGCTGCAGGGACAGGGCAGGACCGGGCTCCCCACCAGCCCCCATCGCCATAAATCCCAGCCTGACATCCTTCCCTGTCTGCCAGGAGGGAAACAGGGGGGCAAAATACCCATCTGGGGGAGCTGCCCACCAGCAGCCACCAGTATAACCCATTGGATAGCCGCCCTGGGTAGATGTCTTTATTAATTTTTAGCATGACCTTTTTGTGTCTTCCTGGGAATGGAAATCTACCGCACGTCCCCAATCTCTGCCCTTTCCAAGATCCCATTGCAGCTGTTCTGATAACGCGCTGAGAAGCCCGATCCCATTTCAGGCGGCCACATCTAGTGGCTGGGCTCGCCCATTTCTCCTTTTCCCCAGCCCATTTCTCCTTCGGGCACCATCCCTGCTCCTGCCCTGGGGACGTGGCTCTGGCCCCGCCAGGTGCCTGGCACAGCTCGGTGATGCTCGGAGCTGCCGGCACCTCTCCTCCTCGCCCTGTGTGCGCCGCAGCGAGGAGCCGAGCCCGCCTGGCTGGAGCTGCAGTTTACAGGTGATTAAACCCAGCTCGGCGAGGATTCGAGCATTAATATTGATGCGCAAGTTTTTAATAAAATATAGGTAGATGGAGAAAGAGCTATCGATTCCTATAGGCCTGGTATTTCTGCCTTTCTCCCGCTGTATTGTCACGGGGAAGGGGTGATGTAGCGGTGAACGTGAGACGAGGACGTGGGGAGAGGAGGCTGCGGGCACGGGATGCGCCGGGGCCGTGCGGAGCCGCAATCAAGCCCGCGTGGCCGCCCCGCGATGCCGGCCCCAATTGAGCCGTGCTCGATGCAGATAATTAAGGCATGATTGGCGGCCCCTCCCCAGGCAGCGGGGATGCACGGGGAGGCTTTTTCGGCTCGCTCGGCTCCCACCGGCGCTCCCCGGCCCCCCGCGGCCCCAGACCCGCTCATAAAAGCTGGCTCTGCAGCCCGAGCTCCTGCGCCGCCCCGAAAGGCCGTTAAAAAGATGCTGACGGCCGTTTTTCACTCCCTGCTTCTCTGTATACACACAGGACCCGGTTTTTATCTGCTTTCTCTCCAATATTTTTTTATATAACAGTGAAATATTTATATTGTCCAATAAAAGGCGGTAAGCTCGCAATCTCTCACGGATTCATTGGAGACCGGGAGCTTCATTGTATGAATTTTACACCCAGCAGTGACCCCTGATAATTGACTCCATACATCTTTAGCATCACGGATTTACATAATACGTAGGGGATGATGGATGGCTCGGGTAACCCCGCCTGCCTGGCAGCACGGCTCCTCCTGCCCGCATCGCATCGCATCGCACCGCGGCGCGGCCGGGTGGGATTTTGGTGATGCCGAGCAGCTTCAGCCCCTGCAGTGCTTTGGCTCCGTGCCCACCTTGGTGGGAGCACAGTCAGTGTCCTCCCGGGATTTGGGTGGGGGATATGAGGCTGGAGGAAGCTTCGGGTGATGCTTGAGCTTGAGCTCGGAGCAAGCGAGCCCCGTGTTGGCTGCGGGTCCCGGTGGCTCCGGTTCCATCCTGCACCGTGCTGGGTTCTGGAGAGGGTCGGTCCCTGCCCTGTGAGGGCAGCCAGGAGGCTCTGCCCTGTCTGAGCCTGATGCACCATTTTTTAATGAGCTGATGCACGTGGGAGAGTTGGCACGAGGAATGGGGTTTATGGAACAACATCCTGCAAGGAGGGTGCTCTGACCCCATGGAGATGGGCTGGGAGGGGGGTCCCCAGGTAACATCCCCCCTCTCCCCATAGCTTCTTATCCAGAAGGATCCAAACCTGGATCCGTGTACCTGGTGGCTGTGATCTCAAGCCATCACCCTTTTTATCCCAGCCCACACATCCCTGCTCACCACTTCCCACCATTTTGCCCCAAAACGCTCCCTTTTTGGGTGCATCCAGGCAGGGCTGCTCAGGGCAGGCGAGCCCGCGGTGGGCGCATGGCCCACATCACCCCCCTGCCACCCAATTTATCAAAAAGCAATTAATGGCACCCCCCCCCCAGCTCCCATTTGATGCTTTCCGTCTCTTCCCGCAGACTGCAGGGCAGTAATTAGAGTCTGGCTAATGAGGTTCTCGTGGCAGGGCCGTATGCTCTCACCAGATCTGCCCGGCAGACAAAGGCCCCTCTGCTCCCCTGTGCTTCGTGGCGGTGATGTTTTACGGGTGCTCTCGACACGAGCCGGGGGCTGGCGGGGTGTCGGGACGAGGTGGGGACCCGGTGGCCTGGCGGTGGCCGTCCCGTGTCACCCTCGGCGGTGGCACCGCGCGGCGCCGGAGCCGGGGCGGTGATTTACGGCGACGGCACCGAGGGTCAGTTGACTTCATATCAGCCCCGTCATTTTGTTTCCAATCCTGCCGAAATTAAAAAGCCGTAGATAGCCTGAAAATCTTATTTATGAACACTTAAGTGTAAGTAAGTCACAGTTGGACTGCTTCCCTCCCCGCTGATGTATGTAAGCTGGCAGCAGAGTGGACTCCGAATCAAATCTGGCAATACAATATGCTGTACTTGACTATTTTGACACTAGGAGTGTGATGTTTTTTTACAGTTACTGATGAGCTTATGTCACTGCTCCTTTTGGAAAAGAAAGGAGGAGGGTGGGCTGGGGGAGAGGAGAATATTGATTAACCAGCTCCTGATTATCTCAGCCACCCTCTCGCCTTGGCTTTGCTTTGGTGTCGCATACATCGTTCCTTCAATTATTCATATAAACCCCCCTGTCAATACTGCCAACGTGCCTCGGCTCCACGGCACAGAGCGCGATCACTCCGGGGCAATTACAGTTGGGCAATCTTAAAAACAAACGCTCCTAAACCACCTTTTTTTTTTTTTAACCTCCCCATTTTTTTAATTTTTTTTATTTTTTTCCCCTCTTTTGTTTTTGTTTTGTTCCAGAAGGAGCTTAATTCTGTTGCTTCCGAGCTGGCAGCGCAGCGGGAGGAAAGCGAGCAGTCTCATAAACATTTAATTGAACTCAGCCGGGAATTTAAGAAAAATGTACCTGAGGTACAGTATATTTGCCGTTATAGAATTAACTCGGCAGGACGGCGTATTTCCCTCGGTTGAAACCAGATTTGGAAAAGCGTCGACGTAAGTGACTAACAAGAAAGGAAGCTAATTAGCCACAAAGACGAATCGCAGCCCCCGACCCGGGGCTCTTCTCGTTTCTCCCTCGCACGGGCGCTACCGGGGGGCTGTGGGGGCCCCGGCGCAGGAGGATGCTCGGGGTCTCGAGGTGCTTATATAAAAAGCAAGCGCTGAGCGCTCGGCGCCGAGATGCTGGCGCTGGGATCGCAGCCCAGATGGGGGGAGATGTGGTTTTTTGTTGCCTTTTTTTTTTTTTTCTAAAATACGGGAAAAAATAGAAGAGAGGGAAAAAAAAAAAAAAAGAGCAATTCCAAAATAGATCTCGGCGGAGGCTGTTTGCTGAGCTTGGGGGGGTGGATTTTCTGCTTTGGACGTGGGATGGAGGAAAAGCAAGAGCATTGCAGGGGGTGCTCGTTGGAGAGGCGGGCAGGGTCCCGCGCATCGTGCCCGGGGTTTCTCCACCCGGTGTGACCCCGGTGCTGGGATGCTCTGCGCCCACCCTACAGCTCCATGCTGGGAGCTTCCCCGGCGGCTGATTTCGGGTGTGGTGCTCGACCCCAAGGAGGGCGAGGGAGGTTTGGCACCTCGGGGTGCCTCTCCTCCTCCCGGTGCTGTGGTGCTGTCTCGTCGGGGGCCGCTCGCCGCCTTCCTCTAATGTGCTTAGATGGAAACCCCCGGGGAGATGTCGGTACTCCGAGCTTGCCAGCAGCGACACATTAGGATCTGTCATCTGCTGAGCATTACCTTATTTTAAATCTGTCTCTTTGGAGCTACGTAACCGCATAAGAAAATATTAAAGTAAACAATAACTGGATTTACACAAATGCGGCTGATTTCCATATTTTTCATCACTTCATTTTATTACTCAGTTTACTGATATGCTCATTTATTTATAGGGCAATCCAGTATTGATTCATTCCAATGCACTATGCATAAACACATAAAAGAGAGTGATAACAATAGGAATACATTTCCAGTCTTTTAAATACTGCATTTTTTTCCGATAGTCTTCATTAGATCCGCTACGCGAAGATGAGCTATGTCCTTCGGGGCGCCTCAGCCCGTCCCTCACCCAAGTGCCTTCGGATTTATGGTGGCAGAGGTGACACCAGGGTGTGATTCCCAGCCTGGTCCAGCTGCTTTCCACCCCCCAGGTGTTTTTCTGGGCGGGTTTTGGGGGAATTTATCCTAAAAAGTGGATTGTGCTCCCTTCAGTTCCTTGTTTCTTTGCCAGGTAGGGCAGGATGGACACCAAATTCTCCTTCACCTCCCCACCCATCTCGTGGGCCCCAACCTGTCCTCGCTGAGGGCAGGAAGGATTATTTCCTTTCCTAGCCCATGGGGATGGATGTCCCTTTGTCACACGGTGTGTCTGGGCTGATGACCCCAGATGGAGCCAGAGGCACCAGGAGGCCGATGCTCGCTCATCACACATGGTCCTTGCGTTGGCATCTCCATGCAGATGGAGGCACGAGCCCACCCCAGGAGCTCACATCCTGTGGCCGCGGGGCCCCGGGGGATTTTTTCCCCCTTTTTTTTTTTATTTTTCCCTCTTTTTATTTATTTTATTTTATTTATTTATTTTCAAACCGCACTTCTCGGCGCGCTCCCCATGAATATTTACCAGGGCGAGCGGAGCGCTACATCATCTGAGTCATGGGAAGGAGCCCATAAAAACGCGGTGATGAATGGCAAGAGTTCCCCCTCCATTCCTTCTTGTAAATGGGAAGAAAAAAATCATTTTGAAATATTAACCTGGATGGGCTTTTTCTGCTGTTTCTCCCTGCCATTTCCCAACTCAGCTCATATACATTTAGGCTCCTGCACCCTTCCTATATGATTTCTTTCGCAAGGAAGGAGAAGTGGGGGCCAGGAGGGAGAGTGAAAGAAGGCATAAATTGTACCCGCGGAGAATAAAACAGGCTTTTGTTTTTCGTCCTGATTAGATAAAGGCCAGTTTATTTCTCTGGCGGAGAATCACAAAAAGCTGCCCGTGATGGCAGTTTAATGGCAACAGCTTGAAACGGACCAAGTTTGAATATCCTTGCGACGGAGAAAAGAGCAAAGCGAAAGCCCTGCTAATTACAAAAGTTGCTTTATGAAAGATAATTCAAAGCAATAATTTAGCAAACATAATCAAGTAGCGCAGATGGGGATTTTGATGAATAGTTTGCAACATGCAATTAGCAGCTCTTGCAGTTACATATCATTAACCCTCAGAGCACAAAAATTATTTTCTCATTATTAGATGAAAAGGTAAAATTAAGCTGACTAGACAGTAAAGGAACAAACTACAATTAATTACCTTCATTTATTACAGTCATTATTTTAAACTTTTTTTTTTTTTTTTTTTTAATTCTGATAGATAGATGAAAACATCTAAATTAAAAGTTTTGTTCTGCTAAATTGGAGGTGAAACTTGGCGGTGCCCGCACCAGGGCACGCTGCTCTCCCGTGGGACGGACGCTGCGTCCCCAGCCCAAGGTGGTTTGGGGTGAGTGGCACCAAAATCCATCTGGCTGTGAGCAGAAACCCTTGGATCACCTCATTTCTACCCCAATTTTGTGCATCCCGACTTGCCTGAATGCCCGATGATGCTATTTTAAGTCCCCTGCCCCCTCTCTTCCACCAACATGAACCTTGCAAGGGTGTTTTTTTTTTACACCATGAGCCTCCCTGCATGTTTTGCATATTTTTACGAGAAAATATCTCTTGTAAATACGGGAATAAACCCATCCGGCCACGGATTTCTTGCCCGAACTGCTTGGTATCAGCCCGCTCTCCGGAGCCGCCTTCGGTTCGCTCTGCAGCCCCTCGCTTCGGCGCGTGCGTTGGGAGCAGATGGTTTACAGTCGCCAACTGTCAGTAAACGCGCTGAAAAAATAAATTTGGGAAAAAAAAAAAATCTAAACTTGGCAGTGAAAAAAAAAAAAAAAAAACATATATAAAATTATGTCAGGGAAAATGCAAAACATTTCTGCAATGTTTTCGCCTCTCGCTCCATTGGGAATAGAGGTTGGGACTCAGCTGGAGATGGCTCGGGGGCTCCGAGCGGCCAATTTGGCATCCCAGAAGTGGTGATGGAGGTGCAGAAGATGAAGACCATGGGCAAAGTCTCTCCAAGAGGTTCCCCAGCCCCGCCAAACATCCATGAGGATGGTGGCACCGTCCAGTGCACCCACAGCCAGCAGCAGCAAAGGCTGGCACGGGAAAAGGGGGGGAAATAATTCCATCGAGATTAACGTCCTCTGGGTCCGCTCTCAGGAACTTTGCCAAAGCATCATTGAACTCGTCAGGAAGTGTTACAACAAAATTAAGAACCAACAGCAATTTGCTTTCATTCGGTATCCCCTGCTTTATAAAGTAAATTATTAATGCATTTTTTTTCTCAGTTAAGCAGTTATTTGCAGCAGTCTCGGTATATTTCTCATTAGAAATAACATCATCTGAAGAACTTATATTGATTCCTTTTTTTTTTTTTTTAATCTGCGAATCATGAACGTGAACAACATATTTATATGACGTTCCCTATAACTAGAATTCTCGGGCTTTATTTTTATGTTATTGATCTTTTTTGACGTGAATTGCTTTTCGGCCTTGCGAAAATGTTGTAAGCTTTCTTCCCTTGGAGAAATGGGCTGGAGCAGAGGGAACGATGGCTTGGGTGGGCACGCAAGGGGTGCGCGAGCGATGGGATCGAGGAGCCCGTCCAACGCCAGCTCCTTAGCACCTCTGCCCATCCTCCCACTCTTCCCATTTTCCCTCGACTTCTTTACCAATCAGCAAAAAAAAAAAAAAAAAAAAAAAAAAGAGAGAGAGAGAGAGAAGAAAATAGCTTGAATGTATTTTTTCATCAGTTTTCTTCAATGTTTGGGGTCTCTGCCGCTGCTTTCTCCCCCGACAGCTGTTCCTCCTCGCTTAGAAAGAGCTCATTTGTGTTTTACTGCCACGAGTATTTAGATGGAAATAACCAACTACTTATCCCGCACTTGATCTCGGGGATGCGAGAATGAAGGCGCGCCGGTGCGCCGCAAAACCCCGCGCACGTGGGGAGGAGGCGCGCGGCCGGGCTGGGGAGTTTTCGCCGTCGTGTCAGTCAATTATAATAATATTTCTGCTTCCAAATGTTTAAAAAGTTGGCTTCGTAAGGTATAATCATGGCACAGAGGCCAGCCTGACAATAGTAATTAATTAGGCTATTACGCATTCTCCAGTGATAATTGCTTTGCTGGAAAGTCACCAGCCATGAAAAAGAGCCGGCGCGGGAACGTCATCCATCAAGCGCCGCTGCTCCCGCGCCGCGCCTCACCTTGAGCCCGCGTGCTGCGGAGGGAAACGGGGGGAAAAGAGAGAAATTAATGAGAATCGATGCGGAATGCGGAGGCAGAGCTCTCTCGGCGCTGTGCAGGCTGCGGGGCTGAGCATCGCTCCCCTCGTCTCTTTTTTTCGGAGGGTGCCCTCCACTGCTGGCAGGGGTTGACCTCAGTGTCTGTCCTGCAGGAGAAGAGATTTGGGGGCTTTTCTGCAATACCCAGCAGCTTTATTTGGGGGCCGATGCCCCCGAGGATGCTTTTTGAGGGATTAATTCAGCTCCACATGATGATCACAGGCAGCTTCAGGACTATGCTTGGCTGTTCCTGAGTGGGACCCAGCACGTTGAGCATCTCTGGAGAGGTTCGATCGTGCTGCTAAAATCCCCACTGCAGCCTGGTATTTTGGGGAATTATCCCTATCTATGTGAAAGGCGAAAGTTTTACCAATCGTAGCTGACATTTCCTGAAGTTTAGTAGGACACCGAAAGAGCAGAGCTGATGCCTGGCTCAGAATCCATCAGCCGTGGTGGGCTTGTTGCTAGCGAATAACCCCGGTTATCCGAGCTGGAAGGTGCCAGCCTCATCCCAAACCCAGCCCATGGGATGGGCAGCTCCAGGAGTTAGGGTTTTGTGCCCAAATGTGTAATTTTGGGGCTGATGAAATGAATGCTGAGGTTATTGAGTGGCTGCAGCGCAAATTCAAGATTTCCCTGGAAACTGTCCAAACGTTTCGCTTTGATGAAAGCGTTTTCAAGTGCTTTGGGCAGGTTTGGGGTCCCAAAACGATGTTTTGATTGGATGTTTGCCTCCGTGTGGTAGCTTTATGGAGGAAACCAAACCTGAAATGAAACAAAACGCTCCAATTCAGGATGAGCAAAATCTCCAAGAGCAGCTGGGCCTTTTTGAACTCCTCATTCCTGCAGCTCCGACCAAGCTGCTTGGCCCTCCGCAGAGAAGCTGAGGCAGTGGCAGCACGTCAGAGATCCCCCTTCGCCAACGCTTTTTGTCTATAAAGTGACTTCAGGAATAAAATCCCAATGGGAACAGCCCAAACTGACCCATCTCAGCCTCCTGGTAGACCCCTCCATCCAGCGAGGTGAGCGCAATGCTCTCCCCTTGCCCTGCTCGACGTCTTCCCCCTGCTCTCCGCAGCTTTATTGTTACGATTTCAAGGCACCCGAAGCCAAGTTTTGGAGTGGAATGCTGAAGCGAGCCCCCAAATTCCTCCTCTGCATCAAGCACGTGATGGGAAAGTCAGTTTGTGTGTGAGATGCTAAAAAAAAAAGCCGGCCTTATACAATTTTAACAACAGAAAAATGATCTTTGTGCTCCAGTGCTCCGCGAGCTTGGAAGGAGAAGGCAGCTCTGCTCAGGTGGCTGGTGAATTACAAATGAGCGGCTCGCTTTTGTTTTGAATGACAAGCAATTGAAATGCAGCCTGGTGTGGCACGCCGCAAGCTTTGCGAGCAAGAAGGGTGCAAAAAAAGATGCCCTTGGCCTTGGTGGTGGTCAGGAGCCGCGTTTGGGCTTTGGGGACTTTTGGGGCTGGGAGCACCTCTGCTGGTGTCACCTTCACTGAGGGCAGCGGGGACGTTGTGGCCACAGGAGATCTCCTTGTCCCACCAGGGCCATGCCCTGTCCTCTGCTGGATGGGCACAGAGTGGGGTGGGGTGGCACCGTGGCCTTGGGGGTGGCAGGGACAGGGGGACGTGGGCGAGGAGATGTCCTGGTCCTGGTCCTGATGTGTGGGGACATCACGAGCATCTCCCCGGCCCCACTGTGCCAGGGAGGGCCGTGGGCCGGATCCGTCCCAGCAAGCACAATAAGAGGCAGAAATCTTATTTCTTATTTAAGCGGCGGCATTAAATTATAATTTTCATTTACTCAGAGCGCATCAATGATTTAAAGTGGCGTGACATTACAACGGCGCGAGGAGTTTGGCCACAGGCAGCGAGCGGCTGCGCGGTGCGGAGCGGGCGCAGGGCGAGCTCCCCGGTCCTGCAGCGTGTGTGGCCGTGCAGGATGCGACCCGAGCACTGTCCCCATCCCTCTCGCTCACAAAACTTCCCTCTGAGCACGCAGTCTCTCGCCCAGCAGAGCCATTCCCTCCTCCAGCCCCATCTCTCACCGCCCTTTTCCATCTCCCCGCAGGTGATTGCACTTAGTAAGAGGAGCAAGGAGGCTGAGACGGCTTTCCTGAGTGTGTACAAGCAATTAATCGAAGCTCCAGGTAAGGAACGCGGCGGCGACCTGGCTGCGTAGCGAGTAGCGTGCGACCCGCCGGCAGCCTCGTGCCCGGAGAGGAGCCAGCACCAAGGACCGGGACACGGCACCCGTCCCCGTCCCCGTCCCCGTCCCCGTCCCCGGGGCGGCTGGCAGCGCAGACGTCCGCTTTTGCATGTTGCTCTGGAAATCCCAGCCGAAGAGACAAGTGGAAACATCTTTTGCCATCGCTGTGTTTCAGCCCCTGAGCCAAATGCATCTTGACATTAGGAAAGGAATACATTTGCTCAGCCCTTGTAATAACACTGCGGCTATCCCCAGTTGTCTTTTCGACGGTAAGTTCACCGAAAGCGCGGAGCTCCGGCTCGCGGCGCAGCTCCTGGCACCGTCCGCGCCGCGCCTCCGGCTTTTGGGGGCTGGAGCCCCCCCAGGGGCACCTCCAACAGCCTCGGGAGGGGGAAACTGAGGTGCAGGGCTTGTCTTGGAAGAGCCTGTGCTAGGGCTAGCTGGTGCCAGGAGCCCTCCCAGCTGCTGCCACGGCCTCTGCTGGCTCCCCGTGGGCAGCCCCGGGGGCTCGGCTGCGGTGAGCACCGAGCGTCCCCGGCACGGGGACCCCCGCGCCAGCCCCAGCTCCGAGGATGGAGAGCTTCAAACCAGCCGAAGATGTGCAGAAGGGCTCCTGCAGGGCCACTAATTCATTTCCCAGACATTTAGGAATAACAAAATGTTTTAATGATTTCTTAGGGGAATTAGGGAGACATATTTTTGTCCTCATTAAATTTTATCCTGTGCTACGAGAACCAAATGTCAGCTCGCTTTCCAGAACCCCGTAATCTCCCCTCCCCGTGCACACCTTGTGCCCACACACACGTGCACACCCCGACACTTCCCCCTGTGGTCTCGGCACCTCCATCTCCCCTGCACCCCCGAGGCTTCCAGCTGCCCCCTGCTCCCTTCTGCCCTCCCTCCACCTCCTGGGCCCCCAGGCCCCCCCTCCTGTCATTTTGTCCCCGTCCGTCACACGTCCGCGTGTCTCTCGACAGGCGAACTCTTTGTGGAACACTTTACAAGCACCACATAAGTCCTGATTCGACATTTTTTGCTTTGAATGGCTGCTGTCAACACAAATCTCTGGCAGAGACTGTAACGGAGCCTGATTGCTCAGCAAGTATTTTGATAAGTGAGCTGGCTGTGTGTCTGTAATTACGGGAGAAAACCGTAAATCTTGGGGATATTGTTCACACAGATGTGGCGTGAAGGGAAGGGGGGGAAGCAGTAAAATGTGTTAAAAGCATAATTAATGTCATTGTTGTTGGGGATGATTTGATTTAAGCCTGACTTTGACTCGGGGAGGGTTTCGGAGGGCTCTGCTGGAGCAGGTCGGGACGCGGTGGCACGAGAGGTGCCACCTCGTGCCGGCACCAGCCGTGCACCACGGGCACACCGTGGGTGGGGAGGCACCAGGGATGCACCTGGACACACCGGGGGTGCACCACGGTTGCACGTGGATGCCTTGAGCTCTTCTCAGTGTCGTGGCAGCTGCGCAGGGCAGATGCCACCCTTTGTCCCCCGGTACGAGACCTCTGCCAGACGAGCAGCCAGGGCGCAGGGACGGGATGCAGGTCCCTGGGGACGCGGGGGCTGCTGCACCGTGGGGTTGTGCATGTGCAGGGGAAGGTGTCGAGCACCTCAGATCCCTCCCAGCACACCCGCCCTGTCCTGTGGGTGTCTTCAGCTGCTGTGGTGGTGGGGTGCTGTAGAGGGATTGGTTTGGGACCCCTCAGCATCCCCCAAAGGCCCCCTTGGCGCCAGGGCTGGGCACACAGGAGAGTCCCCTGCCCACCGCCCCGAATCCCTGCTGCAGCACTGCTGCAGGTGCCAAACAGCATCCAATAACGCCAGCTAGTGGCAAGACTTATTACATAGACATCAATTTATGTTAATATATATATGGGGAGAGCGCGTAGGGTGGCACCGCAAGCCAGCCCGGGCAGGGGGCTCAGCTTGGCGGCAGGGATTTTGCTGGAGCTGGGTGCCGCAGGGCTTGGCGAGTTGGCTGTGCCAATTGTCACCCGCTGTGCCACCCGTCACCTGGCTGTGCCACCCGGGTGCCACGTCAGAGCAGGGTGTCTGGTGGCACGAGCATGGCACGAGCTTGGCCTCCGCTGCGGGCAGCCCTGTGCCGATCCCAACACCTCACATGGGGCTGTGGGGGCCGGCGAGGGCGAGGGCAGCGCTTTCCCCAGGGCTGGGCAGCGGTTCATTAGCACGATTTAATTAATCCAGGCGGGCATTTTGCATCACGGAGGTCAGAGCTGATGAGGAAAGCGGAGGTGGAGCGCCGCTCGCTCTGCTCCAAGCCCCGCTCCCAGCGTGGTCCCGGGGTGGCAGCTCCGAGCTGGGGCGCTGGCGGAGCGTGCGGCTTGGTCGCGGCAGGGAAAACGCTGACCCCAGCAAAATTCCCCGGCGCTTTATTGCTCGCCTGAGCTGCTCCGGGATTATTTCTCATTACGGAGGCGAGAGGAGTTGCCGGCGTGGATCGCGTCGGGGCCTGCCCCAGCGTTTATCGGCCGCTCGTTTTGCTGGTGCGCGGCCTCCTGCGGGTGCCCCGGCTCGGGGGGAGCCCGGGGGAGGGCCCCCAGCCCCTCTGCTGTGGGTGTAATTACCCAGATCGTTAGCTCGCGTACTTACAGACGTTATTAATGGCTGTGAGAGCATCCAGCCCGGTTCGGGGCCGTGCTGCGCAGCCTCACCTGCCGTCCTCCGCAGGTCGCAGCGATGGAGGGGCCGTTCCCCAGAGCTCACGGGCAGGTTTTCCCCGGTGCTTGCGGTTCCTCGGATGTCAAAGCAGTTGGATGGGCACCGAGCCACAGGCTCCTGCTCCCAGAAAGCATCCCAGGAGGGAGGATGCTGGTGGTGCTGGTCCCACACCCCGTGCCAGTGATGGGTTGGGGGTCTCCAAGCCCCATCTCTGCTAGGATCACCCATGGCACTTGCTGTCCTGCTGCCTGCGTCCATACTGGGTGCTAAAAGGGATGATTGCAGGCCCAATCCCATATCTTTGGGGCAGACTCACCCCAAAAACATCCTGGTGCAACCCCAGAGCAGCCCAAATCCTATAGCGGGGAGCCACCGTCTGTCCCCGCTCACAGCAGAGGCAGCCACACGTTGGGTTTTTTTCCCTCCCTGTTATTAAGTTTTACCCTTGGACGCCTGCCACGCGTGTGCGCCGTGCAGTAGCACACCCAGCCCCGTCCCACTTCCCTGTTTATCTAACTTTCTGACCCTGGAGAATTCCAATCTATTTCCTTTCCTCTCTTTTTCATAAAAAAAAGAAAAAAAAGCACCCCAAACCTATATTAACCTGGCTCAATAGGAGGCATTTTCTTGAACTTATTAAAAAATCCAGACTTGTAAATTAATTTGTTCATGTTGTACAATGGCAGTGCAGATGGACTCATTAGCATGCACACAACAAATAATTATAGATGAATTTTTAGCTGGCCTGCTTAATGGGCTTGCTGGGTTAATTATGTCAATGTATAATTACATCAGCCCTGGGAGACATAATGGCACACCCTGCTGAGCAGACACTAGCTAATGATGGTGTAATGCTGACAGAGGGAAGACATACGGCTCTGAAAGCACCTGCTTACCTCGGCACAAAATGCCATTGTCTGCACCCAAACTGGGGGGACCGGGGCCACTGGGGCCGTGGGTGCCACCGTGTTTGGGGGCGAGAAGCCCGGATGCGCCCCCGGTGGTGCTCGGTGTCTTGGGGGCTTTGGGGTGGTGATGCGGAGCATGGGGTGACGACACACGGTGGCACGTGGGGTGGCACATGGGGTGGCATGCGAGGGCTCTGTCCCTGTTTGTAAGCCGGCTGCAGATGGCTGCTGCCCTTGGGATTTGGGGACAAAGCGAGTGGCACCCGCGTCCCCATAGCCACGAGGGTGGGATGGGGACAGTGGTGGCCGTCCCCCGGCCCTGACCACCAGCCCTGTTGCCCGCAGACCCCGCTCCTGTGCTGGAGGCTGCGCGGAGCCTGGAGGACCGCCTGCAGCAGCTCCAGCGCCTCGAGCCCGAAAATCCACCCCTGAAGGAGCTCGGCCGCCCCTGGAAGAAGCACCTGGAGCTCCTCGGCACCAAAGGTACCCCCAGCGCCAGCTGGATGCAGGTGGCAATGGTGGTCCCCATCCATGTCCCCATGTACCCCTGAGCTCCTGCAGGGTGCAGAGGGGGGGTCTCGGGGCTGAGCCCCTTCCTCTGTCCCCCGTGCCCACCCCACAGCGGTCTGAAACGTGTCCCCCCCCCCGCAGAGCAGAGAGAGGGGACGTCACCGGGGTCCGGGCTCGCGGCGGCCGAGACCACGCTCCCCGGTGTCGACAGCAAAGCCCTTTTGGCAGAAGCCTTGCTGCAGAGAAATGAGGCAGAAAAACAAAAGTACGTGAGTACCGGCGACGGGGCCCCCAGATGGCATTTAGGGGTACCGGGGGTGTCCGGTTGTCCTCACCTCTGCCTTTTTCCCCCCACGCCTCCTTCGCTGCCTGGGTTGAGCGAGGGCACTCATGGTGTCCATCTGTCCATCCGTCCCCTCTTCCAGGCGGTTGTGGTGCATGATGTGTGGTTGTGCTTGGGCAAACCGCGTAAATCCTGGCCGGTGGGCGAACCTCATTAAAAGGCCTTTTAATTTTGAGGCTCGCGGCTTTCCCGGCAGCGCGTTTAGCGGCGCTTCATTGCTATTCCTTAACACGCCGCGCCCGTAACAAACGAGGAATCTTTAAACCCCTAAATTGCAGAGCTCGCCGAGTAAGTTCCTGGCAAGTGCAGGCTATAAATAATGCAGAATAACTTTTCCCTGATTGCTTCCCCCCTCAAATTAATGCCGGGAGGGGGGTGGGTTTCGGCACAGGAGCGTTTCCACCTCCCTCCTGCCTCGGCTCCTCGTCAGGGGACCCCGAGCGGGGTCAGCGCGGTGCCAGCCCCCGCGGGGCTGCACTCCAATACGCAGTTTTCCACCCAAAATGAATTTTTACCACCGAACCCCTTAAAATGAAAGGGCAAGGTGGGCTGGGGCAGGCGCTGACCCCCTTCTCTCCGCAGGGGGCTGCAGGAAGCCCAGCTCACCCTGGCTGCGCGCCTGGGGGAAGCAGAGGAGAAGATCAAGGTGCTCCACTCAGGTAGGGAGGACGGGCTGGGGGGGGACCCGGCCGGCCACGGCATCCTGAAGCCCCCAGCCCGCTTCTCACCCCCCCATCTCCTCTCTTTTTGCCTGCTGCCAGCGCTGAAGGCGACGCAGACGGAGCTGCTGGAGCTGCGGTGTAAATACGACGAGGAGGCTGCCTCCAAGTGAGTGGCTGGGTGCTGAGGGGCACCAAGTGCCCGCAGGAGCACCCCAAGGGGTGCTCACTCCCTCAATCCCACACGTGTCCGAGCCTGTAGCGTGCAAGGGCTTTGGCTGGCCACGGATTTGATGTCCTTCACCTCTGGGCCGGCATCCACGTGCCAGCTGATGCCTCTTGCTTCTCCCTGCAGGGCAGACGAAGTAGCCATGATCATGACGAACCTTGAAAAAGCCAACCAGGTGAGCTGGGAATGAATTTCCAGCGAGTGCAGAGCAAATACCCCATTTCCCTCCTGCTTAACCCACCGATGCACCCCAAAAATCCCAGTGACCTTTATGCTGGTGCCAGAAAATGGCACAACGGTGGCCAGGCTCCAGCTGGGCTCCCCAAAACTGGGGGGTCCCTGCAAAGAGGGGCTCTGCTTCCCTCTGCACAGCGGCTCCCCCAAAGCGGGCTGGACCCTCTGCCCCATTCTAGGGGGGGTTGAGCACCCAGCCAGGGGATGGGATGTGTGGACGTGGGTGCTGGGACTCCGTTCTGCCCCAGAGGAGGGATGAGGCGTGGGGCACCCCCCCTGACGTGCTTTCTGCTCTCTTGCAGCGTGCGGAGGCGGCGCAGCGGGAGGTGGAGAGCCTGAGGGAGCAGCTGGCGGCCGTCAACAGCTCCCTGCGCCTGGCCTGCTGCTCCCCGCAGGGTGCTGCCGGGGTGAGGAGCACCCATCGTGGCCATGAGCACCCATTGTGGCCGGGAACACCCATCGTGGCCAGGAGCACCCATTGTAGCCAGGAGCACCCCACGTATCCAGGAGCATCCCATGCAGCCCCGAGTACCCCATACAGTCCTGAGCACCCCGTTGCCCCCAGGAGCACCGTTTTGGGCTCAGGAGCACCCACCATGTGTGGAAGCAGCCCAGGAGCAAAGCGGGAGGGATCCGGGCATTTTTCCACCGTTGGGGCTGTGGGGTTGTAGCGTTGGGAATGCCTTACCCGTGGGACCTGGGTCACAGGGAGGGGAATTTGCACCCCCGTAGCGTTGAGCAGAATATGGGAAACCTTGAAGGGCAGAGGAAGGGTTCATCCCACCCCATACCAGCGACAGACCCGTGTCCCCGCGTCGGGTGGCCGGGAGCTGACGGTGTCCCCTCTCCCGGCAGGACAAAGTGAACTATTCCATGTGCTCAGGGTCGAGGCTGGAGGCAGCTCTGGCCGCCAAGGACCGGGAGATCCTACGGCTCCTGAAGGACGTCCAACACCTCCAGAGCTCGCTGCAGGAGCTGGAGGAATCCTCCGCCAACCAGATCGCCGAGCTGGAGGGGCAGCTGGCCGCCAAGAACGAAGCCATCGAGGTGCGTGCGCGGACCCTTGGGTGGTCTTGAGGGTGGGTGCCAGCCATGGCCAGCCTCGCACCCACCGTGTCTCCTCCGCAGAAGCTGGAGGAGAAGCTGCAGGCGCAGGCGGACTATGAGGAGATCAAGACGGAGCTGAGGTAGGGCTGCTCCCGCGGCCGGGCGGCGTGAGGCCACCTCCTCCACCTCACCGCCCCAAATTTTTCTCCCCCAGCATCCTGAAGGCCATGAAGGTGGCGTCCGCCAGCTGCAGCCTTCCCCAGGCAAGTGCCGCGGGGCGGTGGCGTGTGCCAGGAGGCCGGGGGGCACCCGTCGGCCCCACCGCAGCCCCGCCGCCCCGGCCCACCGCCGCTTTGCTCCTTGCAGAGCATGTCGAAGCCGGAGGAGGCCGCCCTGCTGCTGGGGAAGGAGGCTTTCTACCCGCCGCAGAAGTACCTGCTGGAGAAGCCCGGCCTGATGGCCAGCGCTGGTAGGGTAACGGCGGCCACGCCATGCCTTGGGCGCCCTAAGTCGTGGAATCGTGGAGGTTGGTTAGGTTGAAAATCACCCTGAAGCTCACCGAGCCCAAGCACCAACCTAATACCACCACGTCCACCACTAATTCATGTCCCCTCGTGCCACAGCCCCTCATCGTTTTGGTTTTCTGTGTTGGGGTCCAGAGGTAGGCCGTGGCCTGCTGCTTGTGGGTGTCCTTGTGGGCCCAAACGTGGCACGGGCAGGCTGCCATGGCCAAGTTATGATGTTCACCACAGCTTGCCCACCACGGCACCCCCAGGAATGAGGATGGTGGGACCAGATCCTGCCCTGGTGACCAGAAAGAGCCTGGGGATGGGATATATGGGGCCACCTGGGGGCCAGCCAGCGGGACTATAGTGCGTGTCTGTCTCTCTCGTTCATCTCTAGAGGAGGATCCCTCTGAAGACGAGTCGGGGAAGGACCCGCTGGGCATGGAGCAGCCGTTCCCGTCCCCCCAGCAGCTCCCACAGGCCCCAGCAGACGAGCCAGCCTCCCCTGCTCCCCTCCCATCCCTTCCCGGCCCCGGCCTGGCCCCCGAGGGCCCCCGGACGTTCCCGCTGTCCCCCTTCCCGGGGGGCGAGCGGCTCCCGGGGGACACACTGCTCCCCAAGCCCCCCCCGCTGCAGCCACCCCCCTACAAAAGCGAGGGTGCCGGCGGGGGGCTGCCCTTCCCCACTGCTTTCTTTGGGGCCAAAAGCAGCGCCGTGCCCCCCGTCCCCGTGCCGCCTGCCGCCAGCCCCCCCGTTGAGCCCGCCGAGGGCGGCGGGGGCAGCTCGGCCGACGAGGAGCAGCTGGATACGGCCGACATCGCCTTCCAGGTGAAGGAGCAGCTGCTGAAGCACAACATCGGGCAGCGGGTCTTCGGGCACTACGTGCTGGGGCTGTCGCAGGGCTCCGTCAGCGAGATCCTGGCCCGGCCCAAGCCCTGGCGCAAGCTGACGGTGAAGGGCAAGGAGCCGTTCATCAAGATGAAGCAGTTCCTCTCCGACGAGCAGAACGTGCTGGCCCTGAGGACTATCCAGGTGCGCCAGAGAGGTGAGTGGTGGGGTGGCCCCGCACACCGGGTCCTGCCCCGCTTGTCCCAGCAGCACCCAAGGGTGCCCTGTGCCATGCTGGGATCACCCAGCCCAGTTCCCTGGTGAGACAGGAGGTGACACTGCGTGGAGTCACCCCCAACACGCAGGGTTTGTCCCCAGGGGTCCCCAGGAGCTGCTTGCTACGGGATGGGGACCCTTTGGGATTGCCCTGGCAAGCAGCAGCAACGCACAACAACCCGGTGTGGAAGGTGCACCCCCAGTCATGCTTCACTCCTTTATTCTGACAAGTGCCATTTAATTATTCATGAGGCTGTTTCATGGCCTATGAATCGATGTGTGGCGGAATATTTTGTTAAAATAATGAAGTTTTAGCGCTGTGGGACTGCGGTGAAATAATGGCAGTGGCTCCTCGCCCCGTCTCAGAAATGCTCCGGGTGGTGGCAGTGGCATCGGGTCCCTCGGGTCCCCAGCCGGGAGGTGTGAGCTGGTGGCAGGGGCTGGCAACTAATCGGGACCGGTGTTTTTTTTCTTAAAAACCAACATCCCTAAAAATAACTGAACACGAGTAGCAGTAAATACTTCCTGACATACGAGCGGAGCTTGTAAAACCAGCGCCGGTGACAAATCTGTTGTCATGCCTCTTTGATCAGGGAGCATCACGCCGCGGATCAGAACGCCAGAAACAGGCTCCGACGATGCCATCAAAAACATCCTGGAGCAGGCGAAGAAGGAGATAGAGTCGCAGAAGGGAGGTGGGTTCTGGCTGCTCGAGGAGATGTCAGGAGTGTGCAGGGCACAAAACAGCCGGGCATCCTGCCCCAAACAGGGCTGGGACCCTGGAGTAGGTGCCCTGGGCTTGTGGATGCTTCCTGGCTCCTCCCGTCAGCACAATGGGTGCTGGCAGGGCCAAAAATGAGCTTTTTGGGGCATTTGTCCCAGTGCCATCCGTAGAGAAGATTTGGGAGAGGGGATAAAGAAATCCTGGTGAATATTGTCATGAGTGTGAGCTGCGTGTGCCCCCGGTGCCCTGAACGCAGTGCTTTTGGAAAAGGGCTTTCCGAAACTTTGGGCCTAACCTTTCCCTCCCCCTTCCCCGAAACAGATGATTAAATGAGAAAGCACAATCCATATGGCATGAGGAATCATTAAAGCAGCTGTGCTCACAGTCAATTACAAGAAATGAAATACATTAAAACAGGTAGTCTGCTGAGAAAGCAGAATCCCGGCGAATTAAATTAGACAGGAATGGTGGAAAAACAGGCAGGGAAAACAAACATGTTTGTCTATTGCCATCGTTGGTAATGGGATTTATTTTGCAATTGTCAAAATGGAATCCCACTTAGATACAGGAGTGTCACAGCATTCGCTTCGCTGGATGCCGCCATCCAGGTTTATAATCCGTGCTTGTAAAATCCCTTTTCTCATGTATTTTGAATTCTGGCAGCCTTTTGATCCAAAGTCCTACAAGAAAGAGAAGCTGTTGCCTTTAGCATCAAATCCAGGTTTGGGTGGGGTGGGGGACGTGGCTGGTGGCTGTCCCCAGTGGTCCCACAGCCATCCTGTCCCCTCCAGCAAGGTGTCATCTTCCCACCCAGCCTGACAATTTCCATGCTTGCCATGCTCTGCGAAAGCCGCTCTGTTATTAAGCAAAGGCAGAGGAAGGAAATGCAATTAACAGCCCATCCTGCAAGAGTTTTAATGGGATTAAAAAAGCAGCAAGGAAAGAAATCCCACGTAGGCACAGCGCAGTGACAGTGGCCTGGGTGTCGCTGATGCTCTGGCTCAGTTTTCTGAAGCTGCTCCACCAGCATCTGGTGATGTCCCCATCCCCAGAGCCGCTCCCTGGAGAAAGGGAGGGCTCCATAAACCCAATTAAAGCAGGGGAGACCGAGGCAAGAGGGTTCTGGACAGAGCACAGCCAAGACCTTTTGCATTCCAGGGAGCAACCCCTAAAATTTCAAACCCCTCCCTCCCTCCATCAAACCCTAGCCCGGCACCTCCATCTCCCCCACCGAGCTCTGCGCCTTGGGGCCCCCCCTCACTCCTTTTCCTTGCAGGTGAGCCCAAAAACCCTTCAGCATCTCAAGCGGTGGCCAACGGGGCGGGTGGCAGCAGCTCGGAGGATGCCATCAAGAGCATCCTGGAGCAAGCCCGGCGGGAGATGCAGGCGCAGCAGCAGGCGCTGCTGGAGATGGAGGCGGGGGGCAGCGGGCGCCCCGGGGGCACGCCACCCTCCGAGCGCTCCACGCTGGCGGCCGTCAGCCAGAACATCGTCCCGGCGTACGTCAAGCAGGAGGAGGGGAGCGGGGCCAGTCCCGGCCCCCCGCAGACGCCCTTGGCCGTCCTCTCGCCCGCCGCCTTCGTGCAGAGCATCATCCGCAAGGTGAAGTCGGAGATCGGCGACGCTGGCTCCTATTTCGACCAGCACTGGGCGTCGGAGCGCAGCCTGCTCAGCCGGCCCTACACCTCCGTCTCGCCTTCGCTCTCCTCCTCTTCCTCGAGCTACTCCGGCATGGCCAACGGCCGGGGTTGGCCGCGGGGAGAGCCTGGTGAGAGTGGAACCAACGAGGACGAGGTGCCACCGGCCGAGGATGAGCCCCACCGGCTGGCGGAGATGAAGACGGAGGGCGCGGGCACGGAGCCAGCGGCTGGTGGAAGGCTGTCCTACTACCCCGCCTACGTGCCACGCACCCTGAAGCCCACCGTGCCGCCGCTGACGCCGGAGCAGTACGAGATGTACATGTACAGGGAGGTGGACACGCTGGAGCTGACCCGGCAGGTCAAGGAGAAGTTGGCCAAGAACGGCATCTGCCAGAGGATCTTCGGAGAGAAGGTAGCAGCCTGGGGAATGGGGTCTGGTGTCCCCTCTTTGGGGTGTGGGGTCTCCCCTTCAGTGCCCGGGGGTGGTTGATGTCCTCCAGCACCTCCTGCCAGGGTCCCCGCTGTGCCCCAGTGGGTCCCCTCGGTGGATGCTGAGTCCTCAGTGCCCAGCCCAACCCTACACAGTCTCCTGGTGGCCAGGGTGGGGACGATGGCAGCAGCCCCTCGGGTATAACCCTGTGCCGTGCCCAGGTGCTGGGCCTGTCCCAGGGCAGCGTGAGCGACATGCTGTCGCGGCCCAAACCGTGGAGCAAGCTGACGCAGAAGGGCCGGGAGCCTTTCATCCGCATGCAGCTCTGGCTGACGGACCAGCTGGGACAAGGCATCAGCCAGCAGCCGACCCCCTCCCAGGGTAAGTGCCACCGCCGCCGCGTCCCTTGCTCCTCAAACACCCCTCTGACGTTGGCATCCTAATGCAGCAGGGTTTTGTTGAACCCCAACCCCATTGCTGGAAGCTGCCCCGTGCCACCCACAGCCCCCCAGCACTCACAGCCCGCATCCCACCAGCATCGGGGGGTGGCGTTCATCCGTCTCTCCAAAGCCGCCCCCCCGACTCACCCAACTCGTTCCAAACCCCCTTAATTAGTATGTTAGGCAAGGTAGGGCTGCTGCTCAGATCCTTCAAATGTTATTTTGTCAGAAACGGGTTTTGAAAGTCATCAAAAAAAAACAAAAACCACACACAACAAAAATCCTTGGCTTTGTGCCTGGAATAAAGCAGTAGCTGGGTTTTTATTTTAATGTTGTGTTTTCTCTCTTTAATTATTCCACCGCCGCTTCCTACTTGGCCGTCGATGCTGGCGAGGCTCTGCTGGCTTTCCCCCTTTCAGGATTAATAAATAATAATAATAAATAAATGAATAATAAAGATAACCTTTACATTCCCTCTGCCATCCTCTCCCTTGACCCATGCCAATGCCCACTCCATCATCACGGTGGGACATGGGTTTGGGTAGCGGGTCCCACCGGTGCCACTAACCCGTCCTCTCCCGGTGCCTTGCAGCCAGCCCCGCCGAGCCCCAGCCGTCCCCCTCGCCGCCCCCCAGCCCCGCCGAGCACGAGAAGGGCTCTCAGGAGCCCCTCACCCTCGCCCTGGAGAGCAGCAAGGAGAACCAGCAGCCCGAGAGCAGGGCGGCACTGGGCAAGGCGCACCCCAACAGCCAGGGCCCCGTGGGCATCCAGGAGATCGTCGCCATGTCCCCCGAGCTGGACACCTACTCCATCACCAAGAAGGTCAAGGAGGTGCTGACGGACAACAATTTAGGTGCGGGCGGCGCCGGGTGCAGCGCTGTCATCCCCTTTTCTGGCTGTTTTTCTGGCGAGGCCGGGGCGTTCGGGTGCTCGGCAGGGGTGGCGGGGTCCGTCCCGCGCTAACCGCCTCTGCTTCTCCTCCGCCAGGCCAGCGGCTGTTTGGGGAGAGCATCCTGGGCCTGACGCAGGGCTCGGTGTCCGATCTCCTCTCCAGGCCCAAGCCGTGGCACAAGCTGAGCCTGAAGGGGAGGGAGCCCTTCGTCCGCATGCAGCTCTGGCTCAACGACCCCCACAACGTGGAAAAGCTGCGCGACATGAAGAAGCTGGAGAAGAAAGGTGAGTGCAGGGGCTGAGTGGTGGCAGCGGAGAGGGGCGGCCGGGGGCGAGCGGCGTGCAGCTCCTTCTCCTTTCCTGCAGCCTACCTGAAACGTCGCTACGGGTTGATGAGCGCCGGCTCGGACAGCGAGTCCCCCAGCGCCCGCTCCGAGTGCGCCAGCCCCGGTCTGCAGCCCCAGGACCTCAGCCTCCTGCAGATCAAGAAGCCGCGGGTGGTGCTGGCCCCCGAGGAGAAGGAAGCCTTGAAGAAAGCCTACCAGCTGGAGCCCTACCCGTCCCAGCAGACCATCGAGCTGCTCTCCTTCCAGCTCAACCTCAAGACCAACACCGTCATCAACTGGTTCCACAACTACAGGTAGGGTGCCAAGGGGACGTGCCCGGCGGGACGCGGTGGCATGGTGGCCGTTTCTCTTCCAGGAGAAGAGATTTGGGGACGTGGGGTCCCGTGGGTGCAGGATTGCAGCCAAAATGCTGCGGGCACCAGGCTTCGGTCTTGTAATGCCAATTCAGGGATCCTGTATTTTCCTCCCCCAATCCCACAGTGTTGGTGGCCTGGGGGAGGTTTTAGTGCTGTGTGGAGGGGAGCAGCACAGTCTGAGGGGCTGTGCCCCCTGCCGCTGTGTAACACAGCTTTAAAAGGCATGTGAGCACTCACACTGAGTCCACTCAGCCTGCGTGTGTTGGTAAATATCTATAGGAGCTGGCTGAATTTTCTCACACAAAGCCCTTGCTCATTGGGAAGACTCAGAGGAAAGCTTGGAAAATCAGGCTTTTTGGAGAAATACTGACTAACGTGGTTTTTTAAGCCCGTGACTTTTCCCCTCGTGTTGTTCCAGGGAAGTCACTCCTGCTCTCGGTGAACAAAAAAGCCCTGGAATAGGTCTTCAAAAAATGATATGTATTAAAAAAAAAAAAAAAGGTAGTGGAAAATGCGTGCAGAAGTATGTCAGCGTGGAAGGCTGCGGGTTGGAAAGAGCCCAAAGTGTTGCAAAATAGTTTCCGCTTTCACGCGGCAGCACCGCGCTGTCACCAGGAGGGGTTGACGCAGGCAGGCGGGCGACGCCGTTTTGGCTTTCGAGCCTTTCACACATCGAGTGATTTGATTGACTCCCCCCCAGAAAAATGCTTTAAAGGATGACAAGTCGGGGTTGTTGTGTGTGCAGCGATGTTGTTGCGTTTTTCAAAGCGAAGCGTTCCTGGCTGGAGATGCTTTTTGCCAAAGGGGATGGATGCTGATGCTCCGTGCTCGTGTCCCCGCAGGTCACGGATGCGCCGGGAGATGCTGGTGGAGGGCACGCAGGACAACGACACGGACCCGGAGCAGAGCAGTGGGGCAGCCAGCCTGGGGCGCAGGGCCCCGCACAGCCCCGACTCGGACACCGAGGACCGAAAACCCCTTTTCGAGGGGAGCGAGCACCCCTGCGCCGGCGAGGTGAAGGTGAAGGAGGAGCAAGGGGAGGCAGGCGGCTGGGGCCACCGACGGGACTCGCGCAGCCCGGCCAGGGCAGCAGAAGGGACTGGGCCCCCGCAGGAAGAGCGAGGAGGAGCCCCCCGCGCCGCCGCCCCCAGCGCCGGCAGCCTCCCGCGGCGGGGAGGCCGTGCCGGAGCCTCCGGGGGTCCCCCACCGCCACCACCGCACCCCGACCCCGGTGGCTCCCAGTCGTCCACCAGTTCATCCCGCTGCAGCCTGGAGGTGTCCCCCAGCTCACCTTCGGCAGCTTCCTCGCCCGGCCTCGCCGGCTCGGCCTCACCAGGACCGTCCTCAGCCGGGCCGGTCTCACCGGCGTTGCCTCCGGCCCCCGGCCCCCGGCTCAGCACCAGCGTCCAGCGGCGCCACGAGAAGATGGCCAACCTCAACAACATCATCCACCGCCTGGAGCGGGCTGCCAACCGTGAGGAGGCCCTGGAGTGGGAGTTCTGAGCCGCCCCGCTGCCTTGGATATATGTATAAAAACACACACACACATATATATATTTTGGTAAATTCAGCGCGCACCCAGAGGCGGACCCGGCGACGGAGGCGAGCGGCTGGTGGAAGGGGGACGCCCGCTACGAAGCTGCCCCCCGCTTTTGTTTTAAATGTGAAAAACTGGGAACGATTTTAGAAAAGAAAAAAAAAAAATATTTATAGACCTCTTTTAGATATTTTAATAAAAGGATACTTTGGAATTTATTAACAGCTTAAGCTGCTTTGATATTAAAGATAGCTATAAAATCAAGATGATGTAGCAGTCGTGTCATTAAATGTACACTGAAGTCTTGTAGTTTGCCACTGGATGAGATTAAAAAACAAACAAACAAAAAAAAATAAAACACAGAAAAGACTTATTGAGCAAAGCCATCAAGAAGCACTATGAGACTGACCAAATTTAATAAACTTTTGCATAGCGGTTTTCCACATCTGTCTGTAAGACACTGCATCGCTTCGGCCCCATCCAGAGACTGTGTTATAGTCCATGAAGACTCTAAATTGAAAACCTTGACGCCATCGAGTATGTATTTAGTTCTGGTGGTATGTTTTTGCAACCTTTGTAACCCAGAATGTCACGTGCAGTTGTATATGTTGTAGAAATGTCTGCAATAGCCTTCTTGAACAAGATGTAGCATGGTACGAACGCGGGCCCTCGCGCTTCCTCGAGTCGGCAGCCGGTGCCAGCCCCGAGCGAGGACAGCACCTGCCAGCCACTCCAAAAAAAAAAAAGGCAAAAATGACCCAGACAAAGCAAGCTGTCTCTAATTTTGGTGGAGAGAGATGGGAAGAGGTACCCGGGGGTGATGCCCAGGGCAGCTCTGGCTGGCTGGGACGGCGCCCGGGTGCCTGCGCTCTGCTGTCCTCCTTTTGGAAAAGGAAATCAAAGAGGAGCCTCCGAGCCCTGCAGCTCCAGTGCTTGGGGACAAGCACTGAAAAAAGCCAGGACACCCCCTGCTCGGGGGCTGTCCCTGCACAACGTCCAGCGTTGGGGGCTGAAGCACTTTTTTGGTTCGGAGGCTCAGGGCTGCGGGCAGGAGGAGCGTCCCCTCGCTGTGGCCGTGTCCCCTCGCTGTGGCCGTGTCCCCAAGCGGTGGCTTTTACAGCATGGCTGGGACGAGCCCTGGGGTTTCGAGCTGTGCTCCTGCCCTGCGCTTTGCTCGGGGCTGACCTGCTCAAAGCACGACGGTGCCTTGGCTTCCCAGCACTGACCCCGTGCAAAGCTGTAGGAGCGGCACGGTGGCACCCGCCAGCCACGCGCCACCAGATCGCTTCCCAGGGGCACCCCAACCCCGCTGTCCCCGCTAACGAAATGCCTTTCAGAGGGGAGGGTGGGTTGCGTTGGGTTGTTCTGTGCTGTTTCCTGTCTGTTCAGTCTCTCGATGCATTTTGCAAGCGCCAAAACCCCGGCGTGCCACGCTCCCACCCCTCAGCCGGCACCCGGCAGAGACACCGGCAAAGCCCCGCACGCCGTCGGCTGGGAGAGCTCGGTGCCAGGCCCCGAGGCTATGCATTGAATAGTTTTCCACTGTAGACATTTTTATCAGAATAGAAGGTATTTTTATACTCTGGTGGTCGTCAGGGAGCGATTTGAAAAGCAGAACCCACTTGGCTCTCCAAAGGCAAGGCTCTGCAGGCACCGCAGCCCTGCCCGCACCGGCGCGAGCTTGCCCGAGGTGGCTCCTGCTGGTGCCACCGCGCTGCCGACGGTCGAGGCGTACCCATGGCCCTACTGTTCCCCGTAGTGTGCTAGTGTTAGCTTTAGTGGAACGGGATTTGATGAAGCACTTAGGGATAGCCTTTTCGAACACGGAAATCCTGTTGTACTAAACGCTAGTGGGACATACCGATGACATTTTGTTGGGCTCCTGTACTGTACTTCAAAAGTTTCTATGAGATCGACGAACTTTGTTAAAAATTTTGGAAGGAACAAGTTCTGTAAAGAGCCACTAAATACAGAAGTTGGATAAGACTCTGGCGTCGGGGTGTTTTTGTTCGTGGGACTGAGATGTGCGGTGTCGGCTCCCTCCGGGTCGCATCCCTGCTTTGGGTCTTGTGGCCATCCGCACCTCCCAGTGCTCTGGGAAAAAAAAAAGGGGGTGTTAAATGGGGTCAGCCCAGCTCAGGGTGCAATCCTGCCCTGTGGCAGGATATCCCTGGCAGGGTTTTGCCCCGGCACAGCTCTGTTCCGGACCACGGCTGCTTTAGTTTCCATCAGGAGCCGCCTGACCCTACAGAGCTCGGCACCGCCTGGCGATTTTGTAGCTTCCGCCACGAGGCGGGGGTGTTTGCGTTTGATGAATTAATAAATCCATATGTTGCGTATCTGTTTAAGCTTGTTTGTCGGCTAACACGTCGGGAAGGATTTATTTTTAATGAATATCTGAATGGCTCGAGAAGCTCGGCCGGCTGCCATGGAAACTGCAGCCCTGCTCTGCCTGACGGGGCCACGGTCCCCAGCTGGGTGCTGCGGGGGGGGGATCATCACCCTGGATGCCCTCACAGCACCACTCCGAGCACCAAAACATGCAGCAGGATGGCAGTGCCCAACCGGGAGCAGGACTAGGTGAGATCTTGAGCCTGGCTGGCTTTCTGCCTCCGTTTTCCCAAAAGGACCCTCCCCAGGATTGACCCGAGGAGCAAGGAGCTGGGGATGTGCGTGCGGCTGGGGCAGGGGCACGGGGTTGTGTTGGCTCCTTGCATGGCAGCAGGTCCTGGTCCCTGTGTGACACCACCACCAGCACAGCGAGGGGACAGGAAAGATGTCCCTTCCCTGGCTCAGTCATCTGGCTGGGGACATCCCACCAAGGGGACCCCCAAACTGGGCTCTCTCCTCCCTGCAGGGCGCGGAGAGGTTTTAGCACCAGCAGCGTGCTCCAAGGCAGCCGGTGCCTAATGAAGCTAGGAGCTAATGGAGATATTTGACTGGGAGGGTTCGGATTATTGGAAAAAAAATAAATTCTGCGGCTTGTTTGCAGACAATCTGTCTTCCATCTGATGACTCTTCTGCTTCTGCCCAAGCTGGCAACGCTGCAGTGATTTGTGTGTGAAGATAGCAGCGGGGACGGCTGGCTGGTTCATCCCCATCCTCGCTGGCACACCTGCCAAGCCACAGCCACGTGGATTTATGATCATCTGGCCTCTGCCACGCAAGTCCTGTCCCTCCAAAGGCAATCACTGCTGCAGCTCGGATGGGCGAGGTGATGTGCTTGCTTCCAGCAGCTGCTGGGGGCATCCCATCCCATCCCATCCCATCCCATCCCATCCCATCCCATCCCATCCCATCCCATCCCATCCCATCCCATCCCATCCCATCCCATCCCCATCCCCATCCCCATCCCTGCAGGCAGGGACCTGGGGCAAGCCCCCCACATTGGCCTCATCCTGCTGGGGTGACAGCACCCTTCCTGGCCCCGTGGACATAATAGGGACAGGAGCGGGGGTTAAACCCGCTGGTTAATTCCCACCTAAGCCAAATGCGCAAATGAGAATCAGAGTTAGGAAGGAAATTCTGAGACTGTTTATTGTAGGAAAAACACGAGCCAGTTCTGGGAAGGCAGAGGGAGAGCGAGACGGAGCCACCCAGCCAAACCCCAGGTGCTGCCGGTGCTTCTTCCCCCGGAAAACCTGGAGAGGAGGGGATTCAGCAGAGGCAGCACAGGAGGAGCTGGTGCAACGCCCGGCTGCAGCACCGTCCCTTGTGCCCGAAGCACAGGAAAGGGCCGTGCCCATGAATTAACAGAAACATGCACATCACACCGGGGTGCCACCCTGCCCCTGTGCCCGTGGTGTGGGTGCTGGTGCAAACCACAGGGGGAACAGCAGAGAAACGTCTGCAGGAGACCCCCAAACCGCCAGCGGTGGCCGCGCTCTGCTTTGGCACATGAATCACTCGGCACCCTCCACCGCTGACACATACGTTCCTGTTCGGTGCCGTGATGCTTCCCCTTTGTCAGCCAGCCCACGGATGATGCCCTGCCCTGAAATATCCGTCCCGAAGCCCTGAGGGACGTGGCCGGGAGCACGGTGAAGCTGAGCAGCAGGAGCCCGGTTCCTGCGGGGCTGCCGGCAGCGCACGAGTCCCCCGGTGGCACCGGCTGCGTGGTGGCCGCTGCGAGCTGTGGTGTCACTGGGGAAGGCCTGCGTGCGCCCATGTTTTCGTTCTTCAAACCACATCCTGCCAGAGCATAGGGATGCAAGGGAGCTCCTCTGAGATCAGGGAAGGCGGCACAGCCCCCCCCAGCAGCGAAACACCCATCCGAACCCTCCCCAAAATCCTCACGGGTGCATAACCCCCTGCTGGAGCACCGGGAGCTCCGAGCAAACCCAGTTTCCAAATGAAATCCACAGGGGCTGCGCACCCCAGGTGGCACCGAGGGTACAGGGAGGGTCACCAGGGCCTGACCACGTCTCAGGGCTGGTGGTCGCGCTGCCTCTCCAGCCAGTCCTGCCGCAGCCGGGCCACCTCGCGGCCGTACCGCTCGTGGAGCCGGCAGAAATTCGAGCAGCTCTCGGTTGTGGCAGCCCCGGCGCTGCCCGGCTCGCCGCTGGACGCCCGCCTGCGCGGTGGCAACGGCGGTGGCCGCGGGTTGGTGTCATCATCGCTGCCCTCACAGCTGGTGGCATCGGGCAGCCGGTCGGTGCCTGGAGTGTTGTTCCACACCGCGCAGCCGTTCTCCTTCGGCACGGCGGGCAGAGCTGGAAGCCTCTCCGGGGATTGCTCCGTCCCCGAGGGCTGCGGCTTCCAGGCAGGCAGGAGCGTGCCGGCAGCACGGGCGCCCAGCGGCCAGTCCCCAGCGCATCTCCTCCAGCTGCTTCTCCAGCTCCCGCACCACCAGGCGCATGTAATCGAAGCTGGCCCGCGACAGCGACTTCACCCACGACTCCATGGCAGCCTGGCTCTCGGCCGCCAGCACGTAGGTGCGGGATTTGGTGCCGCCGAAGCGGATGGCGAAGGCGAACTCCTCGGCCGAGTCGCAGAGCTCCACCGTGCAGCCCTCCAGCACGATGACGCCCACCGGCTCGCGGCTCTCGCGCTCCTCGAAGTAGAAGAGCATGTTGCCCTTCAGCACGAACCAGCGCCGGTGGTAGGCTGTGTGCCGCTCGCCCCGCTTGTAGAGGAAGCCGGCGTTGTCGGCGGGCGAGTCGCAGGTGGCGTAAAACGCCAGGCTCCGCTCGTTCAGCTTCATGGCTCCGCGCCCTGCGGGGAGGAGAGAGCCCGGGGTTGAGCGTTAAGAATCCGACGGCTTATTTTGTTCCTGGTGGCCTTGGCACCCAGGAAATGGAGCTGGGATAATAAAACCGCGGGCACGGTAACCCCGCTGCGGCCGGCGGGTGCTGCCGACTGGGGGCTCCCCGGGGAGGGGTTCCCCAATACCTGAGCGTTTTCCCATGGAGGAGCCCCGGGCAGGGCTGGCCCCGCTGTCCCACGTCCCCTGGTGCAGGTGACCTTATCGCCGTGTTTGCCTTGTGTCGTGGCGCTCCTCCCTGCCGCACACGGGGAGGGTTTATGGCCTGCGCCACAGATCCGGCTCACCTGGGACCGTGTCACCCAGGACAAGGCCCCCCCCTCCTCACGTCCCCCTCGCCATCCACTTCTTTCCACCCACCTGGACCTCACGGGCACGGCTCTGCCTCTAGCTCCGGGCTCCAGCTGCCACCAGCATCAGGGACACAGGAGCACTGGGTGTGGGGCCGGCCGCTGGCACGGGGCTGGCACCTCGCTGTCCCCCCAGCCTGGACACCTTTGGTGGCACCTCGCTGTCCCCCAGGGCTCGGCACCCTTGGAGCACCCCCAGTGGAGCACCCGGTGGATCCAGGCGAGGATCAGTGCTCGTTTCCACCCGGCCCCACCATGGGGTTTGGGGAGCGAGCGGGTGCCCCTTCCCCGGCTGCTGGGGGCACCCCTGGGGACCCCAAAAATCCCGGGCACCTTTGGAGACGGCGGGGGCGCTCCCCTCCTGGGCGGCACCGGCACCGGGACGGCCCCGGCCGAGCCCCACCACGGCTTCCCCAGCCCCGGGCGCTCCGGTTCCCGCTCCGGTTCCCGCTCCGGTTCCCGCTCCGGTTCCCGCTCCGGTTCCCGCTCCGGTTCCCGCTCCGGTTCCCGCTCCGGTTCCCGCTCCGGTTCGGTTCGGCGCCGCCCCCGCCTCCAGCCCCGTCCCGGCTCCTCCCGCTCCGGTCCCCCCCCGGCCACCTTTTGTCCTCGGCTCCCCGGGCTCCGGCGCTGCTCGGGCCGGCCCCACAGGCGGAGCGCTGCCTCCCGGCTCCTCCTCCTCCTCCTCCTTCTTCTTCTCCTCTTTCTCCTCCTCCTCCTCCTCCACCGCCCCTCGCCACGGCCTTGGCTGGGGACCCGGGGTGGCCCCAGCCCTCGGGGGGTCGCGGCGAGGGGCGCAAATGCAGACCTGGGAGGCGCACACGCAGGGGTGGATGGATGGATGGATGGATGGATGGATGGATGGATGGATGGATGGATGGATGATGGATGGATGGATGGATGGATGGATGGATGGATGGATGGATGGATGGATGGATGGATGGATGTGTGTGTGCACGGATGTGTGCCTGGATGTGTGGGTGGATGGATGCAGGGTGCCCAGGTGGAAAACCAGCAGCTCAGTGCTGACAGCGCTGAATTTTTGAGCCAGCTTTTTGGTGTGTGCGCCCAGGAGCGCCCGGCGGAGGGCGAGGGGTGGCTGGGTGCTCCAAGCTCAGCGGGGAGGGCTGGAGGAAAAGGTGGCAGGGGAGAGGCCGGTCCTGCGTGGGTGGGTGAGCAGCTTGGTGCAGTGCCAAGCTGCAAGTCCTGGCTGCTCTCCTGCTCTCCAAACCGTGTCCTTGGGAGAGGACAAAGCGGCCGGAGAGGGGGCTGTGCCCATGTGGGGGGAGAGGAGGATTTGAGGAAGAAGCTGAGCGGTCTGGCCAGCCGTCTGGGGGCAGGTGATGACCAGTGTGAGGAGCTGGAAAGCAACGGGCGATGAGCCATGAGCTGGGCTGGTGCAGGCACTGGAGGCACCGGGCATTGTGCAACTGCGTGGGCAGGGACTGCGACCCCCTCGCTGCTTCCTGACGGCGGAAGCCGCGCGGCACTCGAGCCACTGATGCGCTCGGCCAGGCGGCCAGGGCTTGCTCCATCCAGGCCAAGGGTGAGCGGGTCCAGCTGAGCCATCCACGTCCTGGGACAGCCACAAACTTTTGCTGGGAGAAGCTCTCCGTGCTCAAAGCACCACCAGCCCAAGAGCCACCTTGGCAGCGTTCCCATCCTCACCGTGCCCAATAAATACCAGCCTCACGGAGTCACTCTCCCTGTCTCTGTCCATTTCCTGCAGTTCCTTCATTCCCCTGTTCTGCAATCTGGATGGTTCAGCAAAATTGGTGCTGGCATTTCTTTTGAAGGACACCGACAAAGATATCCTGCCCTAGGCAACAACCGTTGCCTGCAGGTTGTGCTCCAGGCTTTGCAACCTCTGCTCGGGGCAGAGGTTTTCAGTTCACCAAGGGGTTCCTCCATCACTTGCAGACTTTCTCTTTCGGTCTGTAAAAAGGGATTTAAAACAGCACTAAAACCATCCGGCCTTTATCTTCCCTCCTGAGCAGAGTGGCTCTGTTCAAGGCCGCTGGTGTGAAGCCTTGGCTCTCTGCAGCGCTTATCTCCCCGCCTGGCTGCGAGGTGCCCTTTCACACACCCAGATTAGGAGGGAGAAGGCCCGTGGGGAGAAGCAAGACCTTTTTTAAACCAGCCTGGGAAACTGCAAAAAAGCAGCCACAGCCCTTTGCCAGGACTCCAAAACCCCGAATGCTTCATGCAGCCCCGTTGAGCAGAGGTTGTTCCCCTCTGGGTGCCTGGCCCCTTCCTGGGGAGCCCCTTGGCGGCTGCTTTGGAGAATCACCCGAATTCTTCCAGAATCTCCAGCAAAATTCCCCGTGAGTTTTGCTTCCCGTTGGGTCTCCCCTGGGATGGCCACGTGTCTCTGCACGGCCTCCAGCACTTCCCCTTCCGAGCAGCCCCGTGATGTTTTCCCTGGTGTCCCCGCAGCGGCCTCCCAGCCGGGGGAGCGGAGCCCGTGCCTCGGTTTCCCCAGGCAGGGCGCACGGGATAACTGAACGCCCCACCTTGACCCCGCTTGGCAGTTAGGAAAACAGAGAAGAAGAGGGGCTGAGAGGAGAAAAGAGGCTGCTGAGCACCCTTTTTTTTTGGACACTGCCTTCGGATTCCTCTTCCCACTGGAAGACGGTGACGGGTGGGCGAGCTGGCACCGCAGCGCGGAGAGGTGCCCGAGGCAGCCTCTGATTCACGGGAAGCTCTGGCTCGGCGGGGCCAAACGAGGAACCTTGGGGTGCTGGGGTGCTCCCAGACACATGGGGGGCGAGCTGGGACCCCCCCCGGGGCAGAGCGGGGGCCCCTGCGCTGTGCAGTGCCGCGGCCGCCCGGGAGGTGGCAGCTGGAGCCCGGCCGTGCGCGGGGCTGGGGAGGCGCTGGGGGCACGGCTCGAGGTGGCAGCACCGGCAGCGGTGTCAGCATCACCTCCTTCCCTCATCACCACCAGCAGCAGCACCTCCTTCCCCGTCCCCAACACCGCCAGCATCACCGTCACCGCCACCTCCGTCACCATCGCCACCACCATCGCCCTCACCACCATCACTCTCACCACCCTCACCACCACCCTCGCCACCCTTCCCACCACCCGCCCCGCCCTCTGAAGGAGGAGGCGAAAACCAGCCTCGAGTTTTTTTTTGGGGGGGCTCGGCCAGCGCACCCAGCAGCCCCCCATTTCCAGCTGTCACCCCCAAAATCGCCCCCAGGCAGAGGGGGGACCTCATCTCAGCGCGGAGGGGCAGAGGTCACCGTCACACCCCACCCTGGGAAATGCAGACGTGCCTTTGGGCACATCCCAAAAACGAAGTGGGTGAGAGCGAGGGAGTTAAGGAGAAGTGGGGAGGATGGTTGGACGCTGGCAAAGGCTTCTGCAGGAGGGGAAAGCTGCAATAGTTAAAAGCTGAGCCCAGCGCTCAGCAGAAGGGAAGCGGCGGCGTGTGCCTGCACCAGGGCATCTGCGCAGCTCGGCGCAGACAAACAGAAAAAGCAGAAGTCAGTGGGAGTGAATTGGTAGTCGGGGACTGCAAAAAAATCCGTACAGGAAGCAAAACAAAAGAGAAATCGTGAGCCGTAAGGGCTGAGAACACCGAGAGGGTGCTTTTGAAAGAGCTGGAGATCACCGAGAAAACTGCAAAGCTCCGGGCTGGGGCTGGAGGGGCAGGAGGAAGGAGGGCAGGAGCCGGGCTCTGCCGCCCGCTCGTCTGTGCTCAAAAACCCAGCCAGGAGGTGCAAGCATGCACGAGGCATCGGCAGGAGGAATTAAAAAGCAGCTTTTAAGGTAAGATCTCTGCACTTCGGCCACTCCTGGACACTTGCAAGTGGCGTTTTTCTGGATCCTGCAGCGGGCAATGCCTACGGGGACCATGGGGTTGCAGCCCTGCAGCAGGGCTCTGCCCCATCTGGGGGTCCGGGGGGCTGGAGGGGGTCACGGGGCCAGCACAGGGCACAGCACCCACATCCTGCTGTCCCACCCCATCACAGGGCAGGGTTTCCCATTGAGGCTTTTTGCCCAGACTGGGCATGAAAGGAGCGAGCGAGCGTTTTAAAGCACCTCGGGGGCCGGACCCGCTGTGCTGGCACACCAACGCCTGCTCCCCAGCAGCCCCACATGCCTCGGCCCGCTCGGTGAGGGCGGCGGTGGTGCTGAGCTCCCTGCAGTCCCCGCCTTCCCGACACCCACATATCAACCCAGTGGCATCTATAAATCCCCGGCTGCCACGTCCTTGGGTTTCCCCGGTTTGTCATGCTGGGCGAGCCCCTGGGCAGGGCTGCTCTGGTGCGCCCTGCGTGGGGGTCCGGGGGTCCGGGAGGGCTCATCCGGCCCCATGCTGCTGCCCCTTGTGCGTGGCACGGGAGGACGAGGCCCTGGAGGAGCCCTCGGGACAGGCGGTGACACGGGTGGGAGATGTCGGTGGGCCAGATGTGCCGGTACAGACCACACGCCAGCCTTTTCCTGGAAAAAGCTGCGGTGAAAGTTTATTGTCCTCCTGTTTCCCATGCCATGGGGTGGGCAGCCACAGGCCCACCGTGCTGACCCTCTTCCCCTGGGGCAGGGTGGCACCGGGACAGCACCAGGATAGCCCTGGGGTGGCCAGACCTGGCCCCATGGGCACCCACCCCAGTCCTCACCCCTGCTCGGGGCTGGGCACCCCCTGCTCAGGACCAGAGGGACAGAGCCATTTGTCACCCGTGGTGGGACACAGCAGCTGGCCCTGCTCCTTCCCTTTTGCTCCGAGATGATTTCCTTGGCTAAAAGCAGAGGAAAAATATGAAAATCAGGCTTTGAGACCACAGCTCACCCACCACCACCCCGCAGAGACCCTCGTGTCCCGGCTGCAGAACCGAGCCCCATTTCCCCTCACCACCCTGAGCCCCCAAACACCCCCTGGAGACACCAAGAACTCACTCAACCCCCCAAAAAACCCCAACCCCAACCCGTGCCGGCCCTTATAAACCAGAAGAGCTCAGCCTGCTGTTTGTCCCGGCTGCTCCGCGGGCGCGCAGGCGATAAGATAAAGGCTCCGGAGCGGGGCGCACCCGCGGAACGACCGGTGCGGGGCGCCGGGGACCCGACTCCGGCTCTGGCTCCGGCTCCGGTTGTGGCTCCCGCTCCTCTCCCGCTCCGCCCCCGCGCAGCCTCCGCCCTCGGCCGCTCCGTTTACATAACGCCCGGGGCCGAGGTCCGCGCCCCGCGCCGCCGCGGCTCCGCACGGCGGAAATGCGGAGCCGCCTGCCCCGGTTTCCTGCCTGAGCCGAGCCGTGCCGAGCTGTGCCGTGCGCCCCGTCCAGCCCCGCTCCGTCCCCGCTCCGTCCCGGCTCCGTCCCGTCCAGCCCAGCCCAGCCCCGTGGTGTCCCCGTTCCCCGGTGCGCCCCGGGCGCGGCGCTCCGCTGCGCTCCGCCATGGGCGAGCGGCCCCCGGACGCCTTCTCCTGCAGGTAACGGCGGGGCCGGGGCTGGGAAGCGGCGGCTGCAAAGCGAAAGTGGCGGCGGGGAGGGAAGGGAGAGGGAGGGGGGAGCCCCGCCGTGCCCCCGGGCGCGGAGCTTTTGCCCCCGCTTCGCCTCCCGCGGGGACGCGATCGCTCCGCGCCCCTTCCCCCTTTGCCCCTTTCCCCTGCTCCCAGCCTCTGGCACCCCCGGGACCCACTTTCTCCTCCCCCCCTCCCCCCCATAACCTGGGGGCCCCCTCCTCCCAGCACGCCTTTACTCCCTGGGTCCCCCTTTTTTTGGGCACTTTGGGGTCCCAGCACCCCCATCCCGGCCCCCTACCCTGCTCCATGGGCGCAGCACGCACCCACCCACCCCTGCGCCTCCCCAGAGCCCTTCAGCACCCCTGGGTGGCCCCTTGGGGAGGGCGCAGGACCCTGTGGGCGATGCGGGGGGGCTGTACCCTACCTGCCCCCCCCGCTGCCCCCTCGTCCTCTGCCCCCTTGGCCGCTGCGGGTGCCGAGCGGAGTTGCCAGCCCCGAGCCTGCCAAGCTGCTCTGGCTTTCTGCTCCCCGTGGACTTTGTTGGCTCGTGGGCACTGCCTGGCTTGGCAAGCATGGGGGGGCCATGAGCACGAGGCCAATGCCCCGGCAGGCAGCATCCTGCCGGCCTCCCCGTGCCCTGCCGGCGTGCTGAGCGCCGCTCGCGCCAAGCGGGGTCACCCGTGGAGAGCCCCGACCCGCTGGGACCAACGTGGTCTCCGCTTCCCTTGGGCTGGGATTTACTGTCAAGGAAACCGGGGCGAGTTGTCGAGCTGCGATTTCGACATTTGTTATTGCAAATTGCTTCAAGATGTGCTGGAACCGTGTGGGCTGGCGGCCCCGAGGGACTTTTCGGGTTGCTGCGCTTTAGGTAGTGAAAGCAGCTGGAGGAAGAGGTGGTCGGTGCGGGGACCTCACGCCGCCCGCGTGTCCCGTGTGCCGTCAGGCTGTGCTGGCAGGCTGCGGGCCGGGCTTTAAAGGCCTGTGAAATTACTGGCAGCTTTCGCTTTGACTTGTTTGGGACTAGATCAGCGCCTCTGATTTCTTTTTTTTAACTCATTTGTGGTGCAAGGAGGACTTTGTCTTTGTGCGTCCCCCCTCCTACCCTGAGTACTGTCTGTCTTTTTTTTTTTTTTTACTCTCCTTTGCTTTTATATCTTTATTGTGTCTGTAAAGATCCCTTTTGGTTTCGCTGGAGCCCACGGGGTGGTGGTTCTGCCTCCACCACATATCGCCCCGGAGAGGCTTGTGAGGCTTTCGAGGGGCTTCGCTGCCTCTGCCGGGGGGCAAACCTCTCGCCTCCCCCCCTTGGCTGCTCGGGGGGGCCTGTGGGGGCTCTCCGCTGAGGCACCGGGGCATGGAGAAACCGTTTGGACAAATCCCAGCAAGTGAGACGAAGCGAAAGTGCAAGAGCTGCGCGCCGGCAGGGTTTGTGGTGCTGCCAGCGCCGCTGCGGCTCGGCGAGGAGGAAGGGCCTGATCCAGCCCCAGCACCGCCGCGGCACGGAGGGGGAGAGCCTGCAGCTGCGTCTCCCACGCCCCCGTGGCAGCGATGCATTTAACACAGCGACACGAAGCACATCGGGGGGGGCAGCCCGCAGGGAGCAGCCGCAGCAGCGCCGTGTGTGCCGGGTGGGAGCCACCGCGGAGCGCCTGGCACCGCGGTGATGGGCGCACGGGACCTGCCCAGTGCTTTCCTGAGGGCTAAGAGAGCCTGGAGCTTGTGTTTGGCCCCAGCTGGGTGGTAGCTGGGACGTCTCCATCCCGTCTGTCCATGGGGGTGATGGGGGAAGCCAAATCACTGGATTTCCCCCAGCTTTAAAGTTCTACAATGTGGTGTGGCAGTGCTGTGCCGCCCGGGCAGGACCACGCGTTAAGGCACAGCAGCGGGGGCACTCGGGGACAGCGTGGAGCTGCTTGGGGCTGTGATGTTGCACCATCAGCCTCTGCCAGACCGCTGGGAATCCCCACCACCACGGGAAGATGCTCCCAGTGGGATTCTCATCCCTTCCCGAGCTACATTTCCAGCCCCAGGGGGGGAATTGTCCTCTGGGGCTGTGCTTGCTGCCACCCCTGGGTGTCCGTGGCAGCAGCGTGGGTTCGGTGCTGGGACAGGCAGGGCACAGCCATGGGTGCTGCTGGGCAGAGGGCTGCGAGTGCCAGGGCTGGAGCTCTTTCTGCTGTGGTTGAGCTGTCCCAAGAGTCCTCGGCCACGTTATGGTGACCCTGTGTGTGTGGGTGCCCGTTTTTGGGGAGTGGCTGGGGGCCCTGAAGTCCTCGTCTCTTCCCATGGAGTCACTGGAGTCGTGCTGTTGGGACTTTCCATCCCACGCCGGGGTAACCGGGCAGCGTTTAACCGCTGCTGAAGCAGGTGGGAGGGAGCGGAGGCTCGGCTCAACTCGAGTTGAAAGGCAGCAATAAAACTGCATGGGGTGGATGTGAGCGCGGAGCCAGGGCTGCTTCCCATGGCTGTGCCCGGCCAAAGGACGCGGTGTGTCATGACCCAGCTCGGAGGAGGCCCCGGGGGGGGGGACGTGGGGGTGCTCTCCTCCCTTACCTCCTCCGTCCCCCTCTTCCCACACCAGGGGGCTGCATCCAGGGCCCGTCCCCACCTCTCCCCCTGCCCCAGACCCGCTTCGTCCCGGGCAGCAAAGCGTCAGCGTTTCGGTGCCGTCCCCAAACAGCTGCGCCCAGCTGTGCTCTTCGCCTGGGGTCGCATCCAGCTGCCACCCAGTAACGGGACGCAGGGGTGGGACGGAGCCCAAGCCTTGCTGGAGAGATGCCCCGTGCCTCCTGGCCCTTGCAAAAGCCCAGGACCCGCACCCCCCGAGCCCCCCAGCCGGATGCAGCGGCACAGAAAAGTGCCGTTCATTGTAAGCCGGCCTTTTTACAGCCGCCCCGCGAGCGGGCTGCGGGGCCGTGCCAAGAAAAGGCTGCTGCCTGGCTCAGAATAGCTCTTTTCATGGAGGACATCCTGGGAAGGAACAATGTCCCCGCTCGCGGCATTGTGGGAACCGGGCATTTCGGGGACTCGGGAAGCGAGGAGCTGCGGGGCCGGCCGGGGCGTTACCCAACCCCTCCGGAAAATCGCCCCTAGGGTGAGTTTGGAATAGGCTCCAAAAGGGAGGCTGCCCGGGCTAAAAATGCAGAGCTTTTCCTCTGCTCTGGGGACGGTTGTTTCGGGGTGAGCCCTGCACAAATCAAATTTCCTATTGAGGCTGCTGGCTCGCCTTCCCCTGGCTCGGACGCCGGCGGCGAGGGGCTGCTTTCATTTTCGGATTGCCCGGCACGGGGCAAGGCGGTGTGGGCTTCGCTCCGGAAAAACACTTTTCCTGCAGGCACCCAATTTGCCAAAACGCTGCCTGCTGCCCCGTGACCTGGGGCTGGTTCACGATGGGGCCGGATCCTGCAGCCCTGCTGGGTTTGCCTGCTTTTGGTGAGGCCTGCCGGCCCCAAAACTGCCCCGTGCTGCTGCGTGGTGCCACGCGCTGATCCTTTTGGTACCGTGAAGGAATAAGCAGCCTGGTGCCGGATCCGGCCCTCCCGCTGCCTCAGGGGCTGGGACCCACCACGACACTCTTCGGGTTGGGCAATGGGGCTGGTGGTGGAAGCGTTTTAATTAAATCTCCCGGGAGCGCCAGCGGCGGCGCAGCTGCAGGGCCGGATCCGGGCGCAGGCTCGGGCTTGTTGCTGCAGCCTGCATCAAAGCGCGCCCGCGGCCGGTCTGCCCCGTCCCGTCCTGTCACGCCTCGCCCCATCCCATCCTGTCCCCCTGTTCCTCGAGAAATGGTGCTGGGCGCTCCTGGCCCTGCGCCCCAAAGCCACCCAAACGGCGCCGAGCCCTTCCAGCAGCTCTGGGTGGGTGCCTTGGGTCACCGCACGCCGATATTGTGCAGGATTCCCCGTCCAGTGCACAGGAAAGCAGGTTGCTGTCGCAGCTTTGGCTCGATGGTGACCCGCAGGGCACGAGTGTCAAAATGCCACGATGCCAAAAAAAAAAAAAAACAACACCCTCAGAGCTGGGTCGAAGCGGAGCATCCATCCTCGTCCGTCCCCGCTGGGTGGGGATGCAGGCGGTGTCACGAGCAGGAGGAAGCCGCCGGGGCTGCTTTTCCCATCGTGGTCCCGGCTGGAAAACACCCGTCACTGCTGGAAACGGCCTCGGGCTCCTTCCCACCACGTGGCGCGGGCGAAGCCCGGCGTTCCCAGAGCAAAACCTCTCCCCAAATGGGAGCGTGAAAACTTCGGAGAGGTTTCCACCTTCCCGGCAGCATCCCGGCCGCCTGCAGGCGCTGTCCCCGGGGGCTCCCCGGATTCCCTCGGTGCCGTGGCCGGCCGAGTGGTGCCGGCGATCCCCGGGTGCCGGAGGAAGCAGGAGCGCAGGCGGAGGGTGCTGAGTCACGGGCAGGCTGGCGGTGCTGATAGACGGCCCCGCGCGGGGGCCCCGCCGGGGGGCTCGCCTCGGCTCGGCCGCGGGCAGAGGCGCACGCCCGGCAGCGCCGCCGGCCCCGCGTGGCTCTTCTGAGAAGCCAGGGCTGGCCGGGGGCTGATAACATCTCCCCTTGCCTAGAAACTTCTGAGGACGTACTAGGAAGCCCGGCGGGTGGGCAGAGATAGAGGCTCGCGTTCCCAGCGCCGCGCGGCGTTATCGCCTCCCCGTCTGCAAACCAGATCCGCCGCGCTGCTGCTGTCCAAATCTCCCCGCTCGCTTCCTCCCGGCCCCTTGTGTTTTTATTTTATTTTTTATTTATTTTATTTTATTTTTTTCCTCCCACCCCGCCCCGAGAAATGCAATCACTTTTCCTCCCCTTCTAGCAGCTCGGGCGCTGCTGCGTGGCAGGGAGGCCGCCGAGCCCGTCCTGCCCCGTCCCGGCAGGATGCGGGCGGGCTGGAGGATGTTTCCTGCCTGAGCAGAATGCACGGCCCCGATAAATGCTGCGTGCCAGCACAAGGTACGGGGGGAAACAGCGCCAGGGAGCTCCACTGAAGGGCTCGCCGGGGCGGCTTCGTGACTCTTGGTGGCCCAAAACGGTCCCCGAGGCTGGCAGAGCGGTGCCACCGGGTTGGCACGCACAATGTGATTCTGCTGGAGCCCTGCGGCCACCCCAAGCAGTGCCACGGCCACAGGGCAGGGCCTTGGGGTGCCTACAGCATCTGGATGTGGCTGTGGAAGGAAAAGCCAAATATCCCAAGCCATGTGGAGGGGGGTGTGTGCGTTTTGGGGTTCCTTGGCAAGCCCAGGGAGCCGCGCAGCGTTTCCAGCTGGGGTCCCGGCTGATCCTAAAGCCCGGTTCCACTTGCTGAAAGGGGTTAAGCACGGAGTGAAGAGCTCTGTGCGGGACCGTGAGATGTGGCAGGGACACGGGGGGGCACAGCTCACCCCTGGCACCTGCAGACAGACAGACAGACAGACAGACCCCTTCACCCCATCCGAGCGTCCCCCCGGGGAGGCATTCGCTCACCCCCTGCCGTGCCGGCAGCGCGGCCACGTCTCCAGGTGAACGCCAGACGAGGCAGCTCCCTCCCTGGATTTCAGCAGCCATTTATTTCCTTTCCTCCCCCCTCCTACTCCCTCTACCTCCTCCCCCCCCGGCATTTTTATCAGCTCAGCTGAAATAGGTCCCTGGAGGGAAACCCATCAGCGCTGTTAAGCCTTGGCAGAAGGAGAGCGGATACGGCCGGGCCGCGCGTCCCGCGGGGAGCTGCAGGCAGCTGCGTGGGCAGGAAGCCGAGCAGACGCCCCGTGCCGGCCGGGTGGGGAAACTGAGGCACGGCCACGCTCGGCGAGCCGGGTTTGGCACCGGCAGGCTGGGAGCTGTCACCGTGTCTCGCTTGGGCAACCACGCCGGTCACCGGGGCCGTGCTGCACTGCGGCGAGCCCCGGGGGGGATAAACGGGGAGCGGTGACCACAGGGGAGGTGTTGGGGTTGGATCCTTTTGGGGACTGCCCTGATGGCCCTGCTGTGTGCTCTGTCTTGCAGCGCGGCCGCCTCGCTGGAGCCACGGCAATGAATGGGCACGCTCTGCCGGCCGGCACGCCAGCGCATCCCCGGGGCTGGCATGAGTTCTGCGAGCTGCACGCCATCAGCACCGCCAAGGAGCTGGCGCGCCACTACCTGCGCTTCGCCACCGAGCACCCGCACCATGACCTGCTGGCCTGCCGAGAACTTCTCGGTGCACTTCACCGACCTCTTCCAGCAGTATTTCTGCAACGAGGTGAAGGAGGGCTTCGCCATGAGCCAGCTCCGCATCCTGCCCGCCGGCCCGGCGCGGGATTACCGGGAGACGCAGCGGCGGCACACGGACGCCTCCCTGGGCACGGTGGCTACCAAAACCGAAGCGGAGCTGGCCGCTCGCCCCGAGCAGCCCGTCCGAGCTCCCGAGGCGGCCCCCACGGGGCTGCGCAAGTCGTGGAGCTCGGAGGAGCTGGCGGGGCCGGCGCGGAGACCCTTCTCCCTCAGCCAGCTGCGCCGGAGCTGGCGCAGCCTCTTCCGACGCCGCTCCTCGGATGCCCTCCCGGCGGAGGCTGATGGGGACGCAGCAGAGGCTGCTCTGAAGCCGGGACTGAGCAAGCGCATCCTGCCCTGGGGGCTGTCGCGGGAGCAGCCCCCCGAGGTGCGCAAGGAGGGGTTGCTGAAGTACGGGCTGCTGGACGAGAGCTCGCTGGACAGCGGGACGCGCTGGCAGCGCTGCCGCCTGGTGCTGCGCAGAGCGGGGACGCCCGACAGCGAGGAGTACGTCCTGGAGCTCTTCGACCCACCCAAGGTAAGGCTCCCTCGCCTCGTCCCCACTCAGGTTTTGGCTGCATCATCCTGCCTGGGGCTTCCCTTAGGGTGTTCAGAGGGCAGAAGATCCCCACGACCCCATGGCAAGGGCAACGCGAGCACAAATTACCGCCAGTGGTCACAAAACCTTTTGGGTTTTTCTCCTCCGGGGCCCCAAACCTCGCTTTTCCAGCTGGAAGCAGAGCTGGGGAAGGGGGCTGGTGTCCTCGCCTGCCAACACCACTTGTCCCCATCCTCATGGACCCGTTCCCACAAGGTGGATGTCACCAGGGCTGGAACCGGGTCTCACGAACCCCAAATTCACGCGGTGCCTGTCCCCGCGGTGCTGCTGGCTTCAGCACCTGGAGCCTTTGGGGAAAACTGGGAAAGGAAAAGAAAGGGAGCACAAAATGGGCTCTGAGCCCTCCTCGGTTCCTGTGGGATCCTGTCGGGAGCTCAGGTTTTATTTTTGTCAGCATTTCCGCAGCCAGAGCCTGGGATCCTGGGGGAGCTTCGGGGTGCTGAGCGCAGCGGGAGCGCCGGCGGTGCCGGATCTGCGTGACAGCCGCGCGGCGGCCGGGGGGGACAGCCGTGGCTTTTAATCTTTAAAAAGCCAGTTCCTCCACATGGCGGGTCTTACGTAGACGGAACGGGCTGGGCTTTTTCGTCTGTGGTTTGTTGGTTTTTCCTTTTTTTTTTTTTTTTTTGTGCTCACTTAACTTTGAGCAGTTCAGTGCTCTGGAGCAAGGAAGCCTGGCATGGAGGAGCCGGCGCCCGGCGGCTCCCTGCAGCGGGCTGAATCCCTGCCCTGTCTGCCCAACAGCCCCAAAACACCTGCAGGGAGAGAGCAGAGTTTAAAAAATGATGAATGTCGAGGTCTGAAAGTAAAAAGCAGCCCAGCTGGGAGCCGAGGAGCAAAGGTCCCTGTGCCAGCCCCGTGCTGCCACCGCCGCTTTCGCTTTTCGCAGCTCGGCGTCACGTGCGGTGCGGCAGCCGCTGCTTTCGGTCCCACGGGGAGGCTGTGCAGGAGCCCGGCTGGGGCTGAGGCTGAGCCCCAGCACCCTGCTCGGTGCTGGAGGCACGGGCAGCGCCTCTCCCTGCCTCCACCAGCCTGGTTTTGCTCCACTGGGGGTTCAGGATTGTGTGTTTGTCCCCTTGGCAGCGCACGTCCCCGGCTGTAAGGGAGGTGTGGCTGTGGGTGGCATCGCTCCGGGGCTCTGCGAGGCCAGGCAGCACCCATGGGTGCCACCCTGGCACATCCCAACACAGGTGTTGGTGCTGGAGCTATTTGGGGAGCTGCTGCCAGGCTTTGCTCCCCCTCATCCATGGTGACCCCTGCCCAGAGGTGCCCTGGGGGCTTGGGCGGATGAAAAGGGGCGAAGCCTGAAGAGATGAATACGAGGGCACAGGGAGGGTCCCTGCCGTGCCCCCTGCCCCTGGAGGATGTGGTGATGCACTCGAAATCCCATCTGGTGGTGCAGCAGCCTCTGGCCACCTTGAATCTTGAGCACCGCTTCTTGTTCCGCTCCCGACGCCCTCGCAGGAGGAGGAGAGCGATGGGAGAGGAGACGGGGAGCAGCAGGGATCACCCCAGCCCCCAAGAGGCGTTCACAGCCGGGCATTTTGTGTGCCCTGCAGCCCTGCTCCTGGCAGTTCCCAACCAGCTGGTGGCTGCCCGTCCCGGGGGGGATAGGGCCGGGTCCCCCCCATGTGTGGGTTTCCCATCCCGTTGCGCCGTCCCCGCGCCAGGGCCGCTCCTCGCCCGGGTTTCACAAATCTCAGCAGTAAATGGGGTTCCTGTGAAAATATCCTCAGGGCGGGTCCTTCCTTTCTAATGAACTGGCCGGGGGCCAGCTCCTCGCCTCCTCGGCAGCAGGAGGGCTGCAGGCAGCTTCCCAGCCCCCCCCCGGCCCCGTTATTGCATCGGGATGGAGCCAAGCCGGGCGCTGGGCAGGGCGAGACCCGAAGGTGCGGGTTGGGGAACCCCTGGAGAGAGCTCAGCACCATCACCCCAAGGAGGCAAAGCCCTTGCCAGGACAAACAGAAGAGCTTTGTGATTCTTTTTTCCTTGGAAATAACCAAAAATCCCCCAGGGGAGGGCTGGGGGCAGCCCCCTCATTTCCCAGCTCTCGCTGCCACCTTGGGCTCCCTCCAGCCCTGCGGGGCTTTGCTGCCACTGCCCTGCACGGGGCCAGCCCCCTCCTTCCCTGCCCCTTTACCCTTTAAACAACACGACACCCGTTGAAATTCAGCTCAGCCGCCCGGCTTGGCAGCGTCCAGCCGAGTTCCCACCTATTTGATCATTTTCCAGGTCCACGGGGTGAGGAGGCGAGGGTGGCCCCGCGCGTGCGCCCCCCGTGCCCGCCAAGCCCTCGGCTTCGTTTTCAGCTCTCCCAAGAAGCCCGAGAGCCCAATCCCATAACGTGCCCAGCATCAACATGGAGCAGGGCACTTTGAAGGGCCTTAAGCTCCTTTTACTGCTTGGGAGAACCGGAGAGTCCCCGGGAATGGGGCTGGCACGATGCCCCTGTGGACTCTCTGATGTCTAATATGAAGGTTGTGCTCGCCTTCCAGTGGAGGCACTAAGGGCTTTCTGCTTTACCCCGCCGTGCGTCCTCGTAATCATAGGGGTTTGGTAGCTCTGGAAATCTCAAAGGAAGCGTTTCTGCCCCGGGCTGCTCCGCTGCAGGGTCAGAGCTCGTTGGGTTTGGGGCTGCCCCGCTCTCATCCGCCGAGCCCCGCGCACATGTTTTATGGCTGAGCCCTAAACCCCCTGAAAATTGGGATTTGCAACGGAAATGTCCCGAGCCGTTTATGTTGACCAGATGTTCCTACAGGAAGGGGAAGGGAAATGGGATTTTCATTTGCGCCGGCCTCTTTATGGCGTTTTAATGAAATCCATCACATCCCGTAAGCGATTGCGCTGCGAGATGAGCTGGGAAGATTTTCGGGCGCAGGCTGCGGTGCCGGTGTCACGGCTCTTACGTCCTCGCCGTGGCCGCGGGAGGAGCAGTATTTTTATCTCTGCTCAGTGCGAGACTGCTCTGACTTCCTTTTTTTTTTTTTTTTTTTTTTCTCTTTCTTTTTTTTTTTTTTTTGCCTTTTCCCCTTCCTTTCACCTGAAACTCGTTTCTGAGAACTGCGATCCCCTGAGCCAGCAGGTCCCGCTCCGGGTGGCTCCCGGCTGACACTGGCAGGGTTGGGGCCGATGTGGCACGCGTGGGGACAGCCCGGTGACACCGTTCCCTGTTCCCAAAGCAGGGGCTGGAGAGGCTGTGGGAAGCCCTGGCACGGCCACGCTGGCTGCGTTCACAGCTCGGCCCCGGGAGGGGACTGGAGCAAACCCCTTCCTTCACCACGCAGCGCGTTTCCAGCCGTGGCTTTGGAGCCAAAATGAGGTTCCTTTTAGAAGTGACCGCCGGAGCGATGACAAATCGTGCTCTCAAAGCCAAGTTGGAAGTGCAGATGGCCCCGGCACCTCGCGCAGAGCCCCGGCCACCCGCCTGCCAGCCGCGTCCCCGAGCTCCTCCACGCGAGGTGGTTCCCTCCCTTGGTGTTAGCACCCACGGGGATGCGCACGAAAGAAGCAAAACCTGAGCAGGGTGGCGGGGATGGAGGCACCTCGGTGGGGATGGAGGAGCCCCCATGGGGATGGAGGAGCTCCCGTGGGGATGGAGGTACCCTGGTGGGGATGGAGGCACCTCAGTGCCCATCACCACCCTGGCCCAGGGAAAAGCACCCCGCAGCCCACCAGGATCCCATTCGGTGACCTCCCAGGATCTCGTGCCTCATTTTTCTCTCTCTTTGCAACAAAACCCTCGAATAACCCCGTGCCGGCAGGGCTGCTCCCTTCCCTTCCCGGCCAGGGATCCGTGCAGTCCCCCCCCCCTGCCGCAGACTTTCCCCGGGAGCAGGGCGGCAGCAGCAGCGCGTCCCCTCGCCGCTGTTCTTCGAAGGCGCTCGGGGCTGGGCGTAGCTTGGGCTTCTTGAGATTTCGGCGGCGAGCTTTTTAGTTTTTTCTTTTTTTTTTCTTTTTTTTCTCTCTCGTATTTCAGGGTGAGGGCACGCGGCCGTGGAAGGGGGGGGGGGGGGGGTGGGAGGGGGGAGGGTGATGAGACAAAAGGTTATTTGTCATTTATTAACCGCAACTTTTTCCATCCTTGGTCATGCACGGAAAAAACACTTTTAGCAACGTAACCACAGCCCCGGCGTTAATTGCTGAAGAGCAGAGTTTCTTATTTTGGAAACCGTGTTGCTGGGATGGAGCCTGCTGGGGCTCGGCTGCTGTGTGCCGGGAAGGACGCAGGATGGGGAGCCCCAACCTGCCGCTTCCCCCGGCCCTGGGGCTGCTTGGCCTGGCTCGGAGAGGAGATGGGAGGATTTCCTTTCTTTTTAACCCAATTCCTCAAAATCGAGAGGGGTTTTGCCCCACCGCTGTGGTCCCTCTGCTCGTGGCAGCGATCTGCTGCTCGGGGATGGGGACGGGGCCGTCCGCCTTGTGGGATGCTCTAAAGCTGCTTGGGTAGGAAAGCGCCGCGTGCAAGCCAAGAAATGAGCACAAAATTGAGATAAAAACAGAATTACAAGGAAAAGGACTGGGAAAGTGCCCAAACCTCGCTGCTTTTCCCTCGTGTGCAAGCTCAGGGTCCCGGCAGGCGTGGGACCCGCTCAGCCCTGGCAGCAGCCGTAAGATGCCCGTCGGTGTTTTTTTGGGTGGCTGTATCTTTTTTTTTTTTTTCCTTTTTCTTTCTTTCTGCCTTTTTTTTTTTTTTTGATGGTCCAGGATGTGGTTGTGTCGAGGCTGAGTGCTGCTTCTTTCAAAGGTAAATATTTATGAGAGGCTGCGCAGGCGGCGCAGGGGCTGGAAGGAGCCCTCGGGGAGGCAGGGGGGGGCCGCAGCGCGCTCCCACCCGGCAGCTCCGGCACGGCGAGGAGATGGCCAAAAACGAAGCAGCACCGGGCAGGGGGAACCAAAATACCCTTGGGGGATTTCTGCTCTCC